TGTGGATGTCAAGTCTACTAGAAACATCGAGAATGGGTTTATACCCTTTGATTATTGTGGATGTTAAAAGTCTACTAGAAACAAAAATTGGATTAGACCCTTTGATGAGTGCGAAATGTGGATGTCAAGTCTACCTGCAACATCGAGAATGGGTTTACACCCTTTGATTAATCTGGATGTCAAGTCTATTAGAAACATCAAGAATATGCTGAAAAAGTTTGTATGCAGTTAGAATGTGTTTTAATTACGAGCTGACTTGTTCTAAATATTGCTTACATTTTTATTGTTACCGAAATTTGATACTTTTCCTGAATCAACTTTTTAAATGCAAGGAATTTATTCCTGGAAGAAAAATATTATCAAAAGTCTGACTATAGATTTATTTAAAAATAGCAGGTTTATGAAATTGGAGATTATGAGAGTGAATAATGAATACATCTAATATCCTTCATAACAAAACAAATTCAAACTATACCGTTAATATATGTAATATGTAATATATGTATGTATATTAAATGTGTGTGAATAAATCTTTAATAATAATAATAAACTTGATAAAGCGTAAATTGCGAAAAACCGCAAAAATCTTTTGAATACAAATGCAGGTCAGAAGACATGTGATACGAGTAAGTGACGTAAATATTTCAGCCGGGATATGTGCTACTGTTACAAACAAAAACTACGATGAATAAGTTTATTATATGATAGATACCATAACATCTTTAAAAATCTAAATTATTGCTGCATTCGTCTATAATTAGCATATACAAATTAAGAAATTTTGCCGGAAGGCAAAACGGGTTAGGGTCGGACGGCATAGGGGGTAAGTGCATGACGCAAATCCCGTTTTATGGCGCCATCTGCGGGTCAGAGGTATTGATCCCAATAAAAACATTGTTTTCTGTGCGTTAAAAATTCTTTTATAAATTCAACATGATAGTTTGTTATAGTCTGGTAATAATGAGATAATTTCAAAGTTTTGGGAGTTTCTTTTGCATGTCCAACTTACTCTTATCATACATTGAATTGCTGTCTGGATCTATCTATTAAGATAAAATAAAAACGTTTTTATTTAAGGATTTTTCTAATAGTGGTTTGGCAACTTTTCACCAACTTTTGAGATCGGACCGAATTTGAACAATTTCCATGACTTTGGTCAAATGTCTGACATTTCAGACGCCCTTACTTTTTCCACAATATCAGAAGAAATTATTTTTTATTATTTTTATGTTTTGAAACGAAAAACGAAATAAAAATATATATATTTTTTAATTGTCAAACTAGAAATTATTTCAAAACAAAAACTTTTCAAAACGACTTCTTTCTTTTTGGTTTTAGCCAATTTTTTCGAAAAATGCAAAATGAAAAACGAATGTGCCCTCTGGCAAAATGAAAAACGAATGTGCCCTCTGGCAAAATGAAAAACGAATGTGCCCTCTGGCAAAACGAAAAACGAATGTGCCCTCTGCCCATATTTAACCAAGCCCATCATAAAGTAGGAATAATGTTTAAACCGTTGATTTTCTAAAGAAATAATGTTTAAATATTTTATAATAAAGAGAATACATTTATTATTATAATTGGTATAATTTACTTAAACTACTTCTTCCACAATATTGACATTTAAAAATAATTTAAGTACATTTACCACAAACTTAAAAAAAAAATTTCCACATTCTTTAAGTAACTTTTCAAAAGCAAACATTTAGGTTTGTTTTGTTTGGAAAATTAGTTTTAGATTTTTTTCGTAGATATTAATAAAACCAAAATTTTGCTTAGTTTAAAACAACCAAACAATTTGTTTAAAATCTTACCATTGAGAAGGATTGTATAATCTTGTAATGAACAAAAATAATTACTTCATGTAAATACATTAAAAGTAAAAACACAATTCATAATTCAATACATCTATGATCTAACTTTATGAAAAAAATGTCAAACACCCCTGAAAGCAGTAACTATCGTTACAAATCAGCAAAAAAAAACTATAATTATTTTTGATTTATAATAAATGCATCCATGTGTGCAGTGTGCACACATTATCACGTTATAATGTATTCATATTTGCATTTTATATTCTATTAAAGTGCATTTAAAATATATTTGGCAATTTTAAACTTAAACACGACATTCTTAAAATACTTTTTCATAAGTGTGCGAGGTGTATCTGTAAAAAAAAGTGAGATAAAAACTTGAAAAAGTATTTATTGACATTGGATAAAATTTTAAATCTTTTTAACTTCAGAATCTTTGTATTGTAAATCTCGGGATTCATCTTATGCAGTCAAATTAATTTAATTCCCTGCAGGGTTACATTTTTATTGAGGGATCAAGCATTTAAATGTGCCCACATTGGATATTGAGATCAAGTGTTCAAAGAGTAACGATACAGAAGTTCCAACATATGATCGATATTTTTCAACTAACGTAATTTGCGTTTAGTTTATCATTCTTCCTCACTTCTTCGGGAATTTCATAATGAACGTGCTTTATAAAGTAACCAACGAATTTTGAGTCTAAACATTGATTCTAACATCTCTAAGTTCTGAGAGTGAAACAGAAAGTAAAAAGTTAAGAATCAGACAACCGTTTAAAGGGACCGTTGTGAATAGGACATGCCCTTCTTTTTAAAATGAAAGGTTAGTTAAAATTACTAAGGAATTGTTCGTCTATTTCAAAATATTGAAATAATGTTTTTGCAAGATTTGTTAGAAGTATTATTATTAGTATTATAATTATTTTTCCTAAAATGTAAAGTATAAAACCGGCGTTTTCTTTTTTTCTACTTTTGATCGAGTTAATGTGATTAATTGAGAAAAAGAGAAGACAAGCAGAAAACTAATTTAATCTATTATTTTATTATCTAAATATAATTTATCGAGGGTATATATATATATAAGTTTTATTAGTCGTTTTTATTTAATATATGTCGACCTCTAGAGTAATAAATTCATTTAAAACAAGCAAAAATAAGGTTTTAAAAGAGATGGTATTTTTAGTATTCAGAGCTGTGAACTGAAATCAAGGTTTCTGATTTATATCTCAAAAACGAAAAAATCGTCTCTTTTTACCAACTTTTGACATTTAGGTTAAAATTTATTTAAATCTAATCATAATTTCTTTTTAAATTCTTTATATATGCATCAAGGTTGGTTTTATAAAGAATCATCTTTTAACTTTATAAGGGTCGGCTTTTTTTTTACAATTAATGTCAATGTAAAATGCATTTGAAAATAACTTTTTGTTTGTTTTTAATCAAAGGTTTAATTGATTGCTAAAGAAAATATTAATTTTCAAAAGTCGACGAAACTCTGACAGCAAAACTTCTGTATTGTGAATTTTTTTTTATATAATCCGTTGGATTGAATTAATTTGTTTTGGAATACCCTGTGGTACCCCTGGTAGGATCGAATACCCTGTGGTACCCTTGGTAGGATCGAATACCCTGTGGTACCCCTGGTAGGATCGAATACCCTGTGGTACCCTTGGTAGGATCGAATACCCTGTGGTACCCCTGGTAGGATAGAATATCTTCAAGAAATATCCCTATATCTTTGCAACCTGATGGTGTAAACTGTTGATATTTCAAGCTTTGAATCTTACAAAATTCAGTGGTTTTTAGATGTAGGAGCAACAACATTGGGTTGCAAAGATGTAGAAATTATAAAATGAAAGTTTGTATTAAAGATTAGATTTCTTTAAGAATTAATATCCCGATATTTAAAAGTTATCACAATGGATATCGAGATCAAGCTGGGATGAATAGCGCTTTTTTATTTAATAGTTAGATCTTCATGGGTTCTCATTCATTCATTCCTTGATAATAAACATAATTTGCGGCAACATCAAATCTGTGATTACTTTTTCCTCTTTGGGGAATACATGGAAAACGTTATAAAATATTAAAACAAAATTAGTAAATTCTAGAGACTGATTTGGATTATTAATCATTCAAATATTGGAGTTTTTTTGCATCTCGAATGCGCAGAGGAACTGCTCTTTTTCCTCCAAATTTAGATTTTCTATTCTCTATATATTTGCAACCTTATGGTATACTAGCTTGAAATTTCTACGACATTGGGTTGCAAAGATATAGGGAATAAAAAATCTGAGTTTGTGGAAAGAACATACTTTCTTTTTCGAAAAACAAATTTTACAGCAATAAACTTCTTGTCTGGATTTTGAACGAATAAAAAACAAAACTTTAAAATGTAAAAAAATCTTTTTGATTTTTCCAAGATTGTTGTTTCTCATTAAGGTAGAACAAAGGAAAAATAATGAAAAGTTTAAGCTTTGTTTACAGTTTAGGGGAAAATATAAAATCTTTTAGAAAATCAAATCAAATCAAATTCTCTTTCCAAAACTATGTGTCACTTCTATCTTCTATAAAAATATACTTTGCTTGTCCGAGTGTCTGTTTGTTTGTATCTATTAAACGTAAAAACGGCTGAACCGATCGGGCCAAAATTTTTGAGGTAACTCACTGGACCCCATGTTGCTCTAAAAAAATGTCGAAATATAAAACTTTTGAAAATACACCAACAAAAACAGAAAAACCCGTGAAACATTTTTAGAACGCCTAAAAATGGTGACTTTCAGAGTTGAAAGCTAAAATTGTACATTGTTCCAATATTAAAAGCAGGGGCGGACTGCAGTGGGGGGGCTCTCCCCCTAAGAAAATTCATGATATCAAATAAAAGCATCAAGGGTTGAAAGATACAACGAAAATAATATAGAATAAATGACCTGAACTGAATTACCTTTTAATTTTTTTTTCTCATACAGTGATAACCAGAAAACAATAGAATAGAAAGACTGCAATGCAAATATTTTTACTTGTAACTTAGCAAAGCACAATTTAAGTGAAAAGGGTCTATTTACACTGTACAATTGCCATGTCTAATGTTCATTGAACTAGTTGAAGTCCTAAATTTAGTCTTAAATTCGTCTTCGTATTTCAGGGTTTTCTGGTTATCACTGTAAAAATGCATTAAACACGTAATAAAAAGAATAGATAATCACCAACATTATTACCTTTGATTTGATACGTAAAAATGCTAAAATGCTAAAATGTTTCATATTGTTTATTATGGAAAATTCGTTATAATTGGTAAACAGTTTAAATTATATAATTATGGAATTATCGATAAGATACTTAATCGATCTCAATAAAAACGTTTCATTTTTGATATGTAAATCTCGAAATGTGATAGTAAATAAGAAATTGGAAATTTACTGTTTTTTTATTTCTAGGGGGGGCCAAAATGGGGCCCAAAAATATGGGGGGGGGCCAAGATGTTGGTTTTGTCCGCCCCTGGTTATACGAATTTTAAAGTACTAACCAGAAAAAGATGGAATGAGTGTCGTCTTCCTTCTTAGTTTTATTCAAGATTTAGTTATTAGTAATTATCTATTAATGTCTAAAAATGTTTATAGCTCATTTTCAGAAATAAATCAGTTACACTACAAAATCTTTGGTGACGTTTTGTAATAATAATAAATAAAGAAACGACATTCTACTGAATGAAAAGTGCATTTAAGACAATAATTTTGGGAATTTGATAGATTAAAGATATTATATAATATAACGACATAAAATAGACATAACATTGTTTTGTTGTCGTCTTCATCTTCCACAATTTTATGCATCCCACTCACGCAGATTTAACAGTTCGGTCTAAATCCTAGCAATCTGTGACTTTAATATCACAATTTTACCTTTTAGACATAATTTTTTCACTTTTTTTCTTTTTTTGTTAGTAGATGCGGTGTGAATGAAACATATAGAAAAAGAACTCCGTAATTTTAAAGATTATTGAATTATAGATCAAAACTGGATTGAAGTCATATTTAAGAAACCGAACATATTATTAGAAATGCATACACCAAATATTCCACTCATTATCCTAGAACTATGAGAACTATGCAGATAAACCTTAAATCTAATTAAAGAGCTTCCAACATTCTTGAGTTTAAAGCATGCAAGACATAGATTAATTAACGATGCAGATAAAACACTAGATGTCATGTTTTTAAGATTTAGGGGTTTTTCCTTCACAATTACCCTGAGGCAGAGGCCCAAAGGAGTTATGCGCATGCAACGTTGCACACATAGATTCAGTCTTCTAAAAAACAGTCTCTTAAATTTTTATAACAGGGTTGACTTTGAAGTGTCGCAAAGTCTTGGGCTTATATTTTACCGCTCTATAACTCACTTATGTAAATTTTAGGATTATATCACACTTGTTGTTAGCTTGGATTATTAAGAAGTAACTCCTTTGGGCTTCTACCTCAGGGTTATTGTGAACGCAAAACCCCTAAATCTTGTAAAGACGACATCTAGTTTAATGTTAATAATCTATGATACAAGGTCACAACAAACATGTTTACATATTCTTTAAAACAATTTTCAGAGAACAGTGTTCTTTTGATGATACAGAGAGAACCACAAACTCTGGAATAAAATTATGCAAGATACACGTAGACCTATTGGACTGAATACGTAGACCTATTGGATTGAATAATGGACTTTTAAGCTACTAGGAAACCATTTGCTTTGTAAAAACATCAAATACACTTTAATACTGTTTTGGTGACGTCTTCCTATTCCACAGTTTTCTGGTTCTCACTGGATTTCACCCACTATACTCAATTAGAATTTAGAGTTCGATGAATGAATGAAAATTTACAATTTATATCCAGACAACAATTGTTTTTGTTTAAAAGTGCATTCATACAAAACTTCTTTTAGTTTAGATAAGTTTTCTTTCTAATACTATTTCCACTTCACAAATCAGAAACCAGCTGAGAAGTACTTAGAAATGTGTGTAAAATATCAGTTTGGATAAGCAGGGAATTTTTTTATATTAGATAAATTTTTTTTCCTATATTTATATACTTTTTGTACAGGGTGTCCCACGAAACAAGACATTTGGTGAATAGTTTTGAATGTCTTCCTCCGTATACTTTATCATATATTTTAGATTCTTTGCTGCTTATTTCGCCAACAAATTTTTCAGTTTCTCCCACTTACAGCATACCCTCGTATAAATATTTTAGAGATGAACTCGATATTTTTTTTCTTCTCAACAATCGTCAAACCGGGGATTTTTCGTCAAAAATTATTTTGTATTTTTATAATTTATCTCCGAACAAAAAGAAATGTTTCATTTCAAAATTGGCAGACAAAAAATGCTTTCAGAAAATCCATTTCGGCATTTAAAAGCTTTATCTGATCAATCATGGGGAAGAATTGTCATTTTTCTAAGTTTAAATGTTAAATTATGATAATAAATGTGTGTTTTTCTTTCCGTTGTGAATTGGATATTACCATGTTTGCAAATAGGCTCATTTAAAATTCCTTGGTTCCTTTGACCAATTCATTTCCCCCCTTTAGACGTTAATTTAGAAAAGTTTCAAGTTTTCTATGAATGTATTCATAGAAAACTTGAAATTACGCTTACAGTTCCTTTAGACAATTCCTTTCCCCCTATAGACGTTGATTTACTTAATGCTCAGAGATTGACAACTTTCCCGCGATTTAGCTCGTTATATTCCTTTCAAAAGTTTGTTTAATGGATATCGAGTTAAGTCCCTAAAGCTAAGCGTTATCTCAACCAAAAGTGTAGCCCTCTGTAAACCAAAATATTAATATTGCGGTGACCTGGCAATATTTCTTTAATAACTGTGTTTAGGATTAGTTTAAGCTAGAATCCGACAGTTTATCCCTGTTCCTCATGTAGAAAATTAAATATTTGTAAATGTAATCAGCTTCTAAGAAGAAACAGTTAACAAAATAAATATAATTTCTAAAAAATACCTTTGGATAGATTTGAGGAAAATTCACCTGAAAATTTGCTAGATCAGGATTTGAAAAAACCGAGTTGTTTTCCCGCATTATTACACTCCACACTATAGATTTGAGGAGACTAGCTGTTTAGATCTGAAATACCCGCATTCGGCATTACTTGAATACGCATAAATATAAACATGAATATTATATATAATAACAGGTCATGCACAATTATCAAGTATTTTTTAAACCTCAGAAAACTGACCTGAATTTTTTGTGAAAAATTTTATTCTAAACCGAAAACGACGAAAAAAGGTCCAACATTCCGCGATTGATTTATTGGGTATTTTTATTTATCGAGCAAACGAAAATGGGTAAAAAAACATTAAAGGAAAGCTAAATCTATGGGACAGTATAATCTCACACTACATTATTAAGAACTTTTTAATGACAGTTTAAGGATGGTTATAAAGATTATTATATTGAATTTTTATACATGCTGGGAAAATCATAAGATACTAGAGCTTTTTTTCTTCAAGGGGGCTGTACAGTTTAATATTTTGTACAATTTAATTAATCTTTAAAATCTTCATTTAAGTAGTGCGCGACATTCGTGGTCCTTTATGTCAAAAATATTTTAAAGAAAAAGTGTTATTTTATAGTTAAATTAGGTTTTTAGGAAAGGTTGCAATTTTTCTCAAATATGAAAAATAATACGCTTTCTCGATTATTAAACACACGCATTAAAACAAAAATTAAGACTTTTTAGATGCCTCACAAGCTGTAAATAATAATTTTTTTGCGGTAACTTGTAGGAAAGATATTTAGATTTTTCTTTAAACCCAATAAAACATAAAAATCTGTAAAATTTTTAATCGTTATCATTTACTTTGACATTGATATTAGAAGTAAAAAACCAATGTTAAGATTCTAATTTTAAAAAAAATATATATTTTTCGCACACAGTTCCTATCCTTGAGTGTTGAGTTCCTGTGTTGGTCTAGGACTGAACGTAGAATGAGAAGTATATATGAGTAGAGGGGACTTGGAACCTCGGAGCTCGGGGGAAAAGATGAAAACTCAATTTTCTCAGTAGATCAGTTTCTCGTCTTTTCATGGACAAAAATTTGGTTTGAAATTTTTTAGAGATTTTTGGAATAAAAGATTGTAAGGCTTTTTATTATGGCAATTTTAGTTTTTAAATGTTGCTTTGGAAGGCGCGGTTTCTTCTTTCTATAAATTTTGCGAATCTTTATGTTTACATTAGTTAGATTTCTAGTTTTCTAGGAAAACAATTTTTTTGGGGTCATATGAGATACCACAAAAAATTGGGCCCATATATGGAATGTGAACAATTGTTTCAGTCGGTTAAATTGTAAAATATTTTCATTAAAAAAGATCTAAAAACGATGACAATCATTTTACTGTTTTTTGTCTACTGTAATCTTTTTTTTGTGGAAATATCGCTGATTTTCCTTCTAGCTTGAGGATTTCAAAGAAGAATTTTGCCAAATTTTCCGTTAAAATAAATAAATTTTAGTTCACAGTTTACATAACCTATCATATTTTGATTTCAAATTCACCATGCAAAAATCTTTGAAAACAATGAAATATTTCAGCGAATCAAATAACATTTTATTTTAAAATCAACCCGCTTGTATATAGGCCTGCATTTTATGATTTTTTCAAAAATTTCAATATTTTGTGAAATTATATTTCGCGCTTAGATGAACACAATTTAGTTTTTAGTGATTGAACGTTTAAAAACAAAATTCTGGTTCATAAATATATGGTTTCTAAGATTATTATTTTTGCTACAACTACTGAAAAACCAGGGATAAGAATTGTAAAATTATAATTCTAAGGGATAAATGTTTGTGAGAATATATATCTATTATCTAGCTACATCAATCTCAGTTGTGACGTCATTAATACGTCAGAAGAGCAAGGGACAACCCGGCCGACATGAGCCTCCGGTTATAGCTAGGAGCATCTTGGATATGCCAAACAATAAATCCTTTGCTTCAGTAAAAAGAACCTTATCCATAAAAAAGCACATCTATATTAAACCTCTTTGTTTTTATGTGTAATTAAGAATTTGATTTTTTTTAGACGGCATTGTAATTTTACAAAAGACTGATTGGTATGACTTGACATTAGAGATGAGAGCTTTCGGTTTTTTTCAATTTGTTCTTTCATTGTTTGTTATTTTGTCATTACATTGGCAGTGGCTTGTACTGCCTGGCAAATTTATGGGAGGCTCTTATGCTATTATTGCGGAGGGGTATGACGGCAGGGGTATCCCTCCCTCCCTCGTCCCACCTTGATATCAATAGAGCTAGTTGTTTCTATAAACAACAATCTAAATAAATTACACTGATTGCAGACATGGAGATATATTTGAGTTTTGAATACCAATAATCCTCATAAATGTTTTGTCTCTTAGATCAACAACTTGAATGGAACTGATAAATTGCCACAATATATTGTTTTCTATAAATCCCAATCTACAACCTGATGGCGGAAATCTTTAATATATTCAAAGATGGCTACCGTTTTTTAGCAAAACTTTTAGTTTGGAAAAAACATTTGTTTGAGGCAGAGGTCTTGTATGATAAGGGCCGTCCTAATCCAATGACATACTTTGGGAGGGACGATAGTTTGGCCGTTAGATGTCTCACGTAAGTTTCGTATTTGATAGATAGACAATTTGGACGCAAACAGTCGAAGACGTCATCTGGTCGACCATTATTATATTGGAAAGGAACGCCCTCAGGTAACATTCAACAATACATTTTAATAGGGTTCAACACTATCGTTTCGCGAAAATTTCGATTTTTTCGAGAAACATATTAATGTGAAATTTTGCGAAAAAATCTACATTTTTAAATTTTTTTCGCGAAAAAATCCGCATCGATTTTACATCCTTTCGCAAAATACATTTTCGCAAAAAAATGGAAAATTTCTGCGAAAAACTTTGCGAAATACGAAAAAAAAATTTCGCGAAAGATTTCGTTCGCTGATAACCCTTCATATTGATAGGTGTTATCGAAGATTTCTTAATAAAAACTACTTATTAGTTATTAGTTTTATTGAAAATAACAAGTTATTATATTACTTATTAGTTATTAGTTTTATTGTTAATAACAGCATATATTGTTAAGGGGAAAAAGAAAACTTTTATAACTATACGGCTTAAGAATTTGCTAAACTTCAGATACAGAGTTACTCACATAAAATGATACTTTAAAGGGGCTGTAAACATAATTTCAAGTGACCCTCTAGGCAACGGTACCTTTTTTACCGATCTTTGAGAGCAGAGAACTTGGTGTGTTGATCTTTAATTGCCAAAAAACTGGAGTGCACACTAGCATACAGATGAATTTTATGCACTTAAGAAAGTGACTGACAATGTAAGGTAGTTGAGTATGCAGAGTTGTTAAACATTTTTTTTAGGATTCATTTGAGACATATAAAACGTTTCCACGATGTATAATTACTGAGTTTGAGTGCAAAGTCAACGTACAGGATCACGAATTTGGGTGGGTACTTTTTCAGAATCCTTTTTTTTAAATTATCAAATAACGGCGAAAAAAATTAAGTAAAAATTATATAGTATAGGATCTTGTTTCTCAATAAAAATTTGTCATTAAATTAATGTTAGAATCAATCATTTCTTTTTCATCATTATATTGAATTTCTTTTTCTTTACGAATTTGTTCGCAGATTTCTACAAATACTCCAAATGTCGTCTTTTCAATAAAAATTCCAGAAAATGTTTGTAAAGAACAAGAGATTACAGAAACTAATAACTGAATAAGATTGCTTATTTTCGGTAATGAGTGTTAATTTTTATCTTCTCAGCCTGCTCCTAAACAACTATATAGCTAGTTTACTAGGTAGAATTTGAGCAAATTTTTTTGTAGTCGTTATTTAATAATTTCTAAAAAATCGATTCTCAAAACGTAACCACCAAAATGGATGATTTTAAAAGTCGACTTAGATCTAAAACTCAGTTATTATACATCATTAAAACGATGTCTCAAATGAATCCTAAAAAAATTCTCCACAATACTAGACTACATTCTCTCAGTTCTATTAAAATAAATTGCCGGCCACTCCCTTTAATGATCGTTTGCATTTTATTTCAGCCAGACTGTAAATAAAGGATTTCTCAATCCTTCGTTCACGAATTTGACGGTTGACAAACGATTCAAAAATTCTTTGTGAACATTTTTTTTGGGAAACCTGCCCTTCCCTAACTTTAACTGTAAAAATTATTTTACTGAACAAACGATTTCACTAAATAAAGGTTCTAATAAAAAATGAAGAAATTTAAGGAAAATACACGACAATTCAGCTAACGAACGAATTCAAAATTTTATTGAACGTTACCGAACAATGAATTTAAAAAAAACGATGAAAGAACCCATCTCTAATCCTTTCTAATCCTGTAAGATCCGGTACAGGCAAACAATTTTTTTAAGCGTTCAAAAACTAACTAAAATGGTTAAAAATATTAGAATTTTTTTCTGATAATTTTTATTCGTCTTCTTCAGGAAAATATCCAAGACCAGGGGGATGTATTTTCTCAGCCAGGCCAGTAAACAGTACACTAAACAAAATGATGTATTTTTTCCAACGGCATTTTCCCAAATGGCGACTTCCCAAGTGACAATTTCCCAAATGGCAACTTTCAAATGTTAGGTTAGCCAGCTTCTCCTTCTGAGGCGCCGCAGGCTGCAATTAGGGGGGGGGGTCTGCGCGCTGCGGCTTGGACAGTCTTGGGAACTTCCCGCTTGGGGAAATTGCACAGTTGGGAAGTTGCCAGTTGGGAAATTGTACAGTTGGTAAGTTGCCACTTGGAAAATTGCACAGTTGAAAGTTGCCACTTGGGAAATTGCAAAGTTGGGAAGTTGCCACTTGGAAAATTGCACAGTTGGGAAGTTGGCACTTGGGAAAATACCAGTATAAGAAGTTGCCAATTGGGAAAAATCCTTTGGGAAAGTTATACCTAACATCAACAAAATAACATATTTTTGTTCATTTCTACGTTTAAAGCTGCAGAGGTTTATGAAATAACAAAATTGTTGCTATAACTTCTTAATTTCTTCAAATTTAGAAGTCTTATACTTGGATGATGATAATATCTATCATTGAAAATGAGACAGAAGAAGAAGGTCAAATCAAAGAGAAATTACTCTGAAGAGAAATAAATCCAGTTACATTTTACATATTAGAAATTCAAAACATGTTTCATCTCAATAGCTCTTCTATAAGAGGAGTTCTGATTGAAATGAAAACACGTTCATTATGTTATTCATGCAGTTTTGCTGTGAATTTTTTTTTTTGATGGTTTTAAATAATATATTACTCCAAATGTTCAGGGCACAGAAAACCAAATAGTGATAAAATTATGCATCTACTTTATAGACCAGACCGGCTTTAAAGGTTCGCCAGGTTTTGTCCATTACTTGACCTTATTCAATCTACTTATATTTTATGTAAACCTGAATATAATGATTCAAAAAGAGATTTTACCTATCTATATTTCTTGCAACTAGGTATAGAACTAACCAATCAGAAAACGGCAAACTTTCAAGTATTTTCCTTAATCTCTGCCTAAAATTTCAAAATTCATTAACTAACTTGTATAAAGTGTGGTATCTGTATTCAAGTGTGGTATCTGTATTTAATTGTAGTATCTGAATTTAAGTGTGGTATCTGTATTTAAGTGTAGATTCTGTATTTGAGTGTGGTATCTGTATTAAAGTGTAGTATCTGTATTTGAGTGTGGTATCTGTATTAAAGTGTAGTATCTGTATTTGAGTGTGGTATCTGTATTTGAGTGTGGTATCTGTATTTAAGTGTGGTATCTGTATTTGAGTGTTGTATCTGTATTTAAGTGTGGCATCTGTATTTAAGTGTAGTATCTGTATTTGAGTGTGGTATCTGTATTTGATTGTGGTATCTGTATTTGAGTGTGGTTTCTGAATTTGAGTGTATTTGAGTGTGGTATCTGTATTTGAGTGTATTTGAGTGTGGTATCTGTATTTGAGTGTTGTATCTGTATTTAAGTGTAGTATCTGTATTTAATTGTAGAATCTGTATTTAAGTGTGGTAACTGTATTTAAGTGTAGATTCTGTATTTCAGTGTGGTATCTGTATTTAAGTGTGGTATCTGTATTTAAGTGTAGATTCTGTATTTCAGTGTGGTATCTGTATTTAAGTGTATATCTGTATTTAAGTGTGGAATCTGTGTATTTATGTGTATATCTGTATTTAAGTGTGGTATCTGTATTTAAGTGTATATCTGAATTTAAGTGTGGTATCTGTATTTAAGTGTATATCTGTATTTAAGTGTATAACTGTATTTAAGTGTATATCTGTATTTAACTGTGGTATCTGTATTTGATATTTAACCTGATTTGAGGTCTGGAACTGAGAACAAAAGAGCAGAGTAGACTATTTCTAGAAAATAAAAATTCATAAAAATAAAACAAAAGAGAAGATTAGAAAAGCTTAAAAATATATTGCTACAAAATAAAGAATGCGCATTCCATGTATTCAAACTGCACTGAAATCTAGACATAATGAAAAGGTCAAATTGTGTAAAATAACCATTGCGTCTTTGTGACTTCGTAGCTCCTTGTGTTTGAATTTTAGCACAATTTATATCCAATTAAAACTGGGTTGAAACTTACAAGAGAAAGACAATAATTTTGATCCTGAGAAAATGCTGGATTCAAATTGGACAGTAATTAGAATAATTTACTATCTCTTTTCATAAGGAATTTGACAATTTCAAACTGGGGGAACTAGAATATTTTTTTAGTTTTTTATGCAGTGAAACCCTTAATAACGAATACATCGAAAGAATTCATCAAATGTCGTATTCCTCACTTTTTGATTATGGAATGTTGCAGATATTTAGTTTTTTAATCAAATGATTAAAATTGTTCCCGCATATTCATGGCTAATTATTTATTTTCGCAAATACTGAAATTTACGTAATATAGTATAAAACCCATTGAAAAATTTTCAAGACGACATTTGATAAATTCTTCCGATGTATTCGTAATTAAGGGTTTCACTGTAGCATTTCCATGAAAGATTTTGTCTGAACAATTCTAAATAAACTCTAGATATAGTAGAATTCTAACCTAGTGTCAAACTATTCAAAAAAACCAAGTTCTGTTTGCTAGGTATACGTAGTTATAAAATCTCAATAACTTTATTATAAAGTGATAATATGAACGGAAGACATTGAAACAAAAATAGATTCTGTAACAATTATTGAAGACGTACATAAAATAATTATTGCATTTCAAATTAATTTTATTCTTTGATGAAATTTAAAAATATTACTAAAGTAAAATAAAAATACTTAAGAACTACTTCTATTTTTTAGAATTGAGCAATTCAATGTTTCATTCCGTTTTAAGTTTTTTAGCCAATATACATTTCCTATATCTTCTAAATAATTACCTTAACTGTTTGCTTACTACCATAACCAGCCAGAAACCTTGATCTATCACAGTCAGAACAGCTACAGGAAACAGCAAAATCCAGAGCAGGAAATATATCTTAACAGAACAGTACAGTACAGTACAGTACAGTACAGTACAGTACAGTACAGTACAGTACAGTACAGTACAGTACAGTACAGTACAGTACAGTACAGTACAGTACAGTACAGTACAGTACAGTTCATCGTAATGTAGAAATCGAGTGTGGTAGATGTCAAACAACACATTTTTTGCCAGGATTTCAAGACTTAATGTCATTTCTAAAAAGATTTATTTTCTCCACTTTTTGATTTTCAACAAACATTATACAAAATTAAGCTTTCTTAAAATATATAAGAAAATTGATACCTTTTCATTTAACACATTAATAGGCAGTACACAGAGTCCATCATAGTTCTGTACAGTACCACTAGGTCCGTACAGTGCAAGAGTACATTTTGTCATCTAAACAACGTGGTATTGCAATATAGTTCAAGGAGCACATTTTGTCCTCTAAACAACGTATAATTGCAAAACAGTTCAAGGAGTACATTTTGTTATCTAAACAACGTATAATTGCAATACAGTTCAAGGAGTACATTTTGTCATCTAAACAACGTATAATTGCAATACAGTTCAAGGAGTACATTTTTTCATCTAAACAACGTATAATTGCAATACAGTTCAAGGAGTANCCTTCCTCTAAAACCGACGCAGAAATCTTCTCATTCACCGTCAACTAAGATTTCAGTTTGTTCTGCAGCAATTTGTATTAAACTGACCAAAGATATTGATCTGGAGAAATCATACCTAGTTAGTCTAAAAACTTTTAATCTTATTATAGACCCCTTTATATTAAAACTAAGGTTGAAACTATTTCATCAAAAAAGTCAAATTTTTTTTTACAACAGCACCAACTATTTCTTACATTTGTAGAAGAAAAAAATTGAAAAAATCAAATCTCATTTAGTACTTAACGACTTTAAAAACAGCGTTCAGAAGGGAAGGCTGATTTTTCTATTTTTCAAATTAAAAATGTCGCCCGGTTTAACGCTTTTCCATATTTTTAACATTTTTTTTTATAGAAAACTAGTTCTCTCGATGCTCTGACAAAAATCTTTCCAGAAAACGGGGTTTACTTGGAATTTTCTTGAATTTTAAGGGATTTTTACGAAGTTAACATTTCCAAATTCAGTGTTTCATTTTTAAGAACGGCAATTTTTATACCCATCTTAATTTGTTTTAAAGAATTTTTTTGTCTTCCATTAGTGATTTAGTTCAAACAAAAAAGCAAAAATCTGAATTAACTTAAACTATAAAAAAAAATTATCAAGTCTTTTTTTAACTTAAATTGCTCACCTTAGGAAAAATGTTGTCGAATGGGTCTGAAGGATAATTCCCCATCTGATAACTGTAGATAACATCAAGCTAATAACTAGCGGNCAAAACTGTGTAATGGTGGGAGAGTTTTTACACTGTACATGAGCGTACTCAGATCATCACATAAAAGTGTGTAAGAAAAAAGACTGAAGGGTGAATAAGGAAGATTTCATCTTTTCATTAATTATACTACGTGAAACTAAAATAAAATGCACGTCTGAAGAAATCGTAAATATGATGATATGTAATCAATCATAACTTCTCTCAATGAAGAGCTATTGAAAAGAATTCAAAAGATATACGTTCTATCTTGTATCCGAATACGTTCTATCTTGTACCCGAATACGTTCTATTTTGTATCCGAATACGTTCTATCTTGTATCCGAATTTGTTCTATCTTGTATCCGAATACGTTGTTTTTGGGTTTTTTTTCTCAAAATTATGCGTAAATTAGACATTATCTTGAACTTTTTCTATTTAAATATTTCAGAAAAACGAAGGAATTTTATTTAGAAAATTTAATGTGATATATTTTGTTTGTGGTAAGATATGACAATAAATGCATTTCTATTATTATATTAAAATGTTTGCAGTGTATGACACTATATTACACACAAAGTTGATACCATGTTTATGACAATCTAGACATCTGAAATATCAAATCTTTATATTGAAAATATACATATAAATCTGCATTTTGTAAAGAATTAGATGTATACTATTAAATGTTGTAGCAAGAATGTAAAATTTAAGATGACTAACTATAACGCCGCTATCTTTATATAAGTTTTTGATCTAAAATCAAATTGATTCCACGTATAAAATTTTTTTTTTTCTGAATACTCTATATTTTGCCACTAAATGCTGTAAGCTTATGATTTTTCAAACTTATTATTGAACAACAATGATCAAATCCTGTTTAATGCCCATGTTTTTTGGATCCTCCTGTATATCTTCATAATAAAGCATTTCTCTCATAAATAAATTTGTATGTGTATGTATGTTAGCTATAGGTGGACAAACGGCCGGACAACATGGGCTGAAATTCTTTGAGGAAACTCGTGGGTACCCAAGAGTAACATAGGCAATTTTTTTTTTAATTCGATTTTTTTCAAATTCTACGGTCAAAGCTGAACACTTCGGCTATTACTGTATAGTGTATAAAGTATAAAACCCAACTTAAATATTGTCAAGTTAATAACATAAACTGTATTTCTATACCAGACTTAATAAAAAAGGAATATGTGTGGGGGGGGGGGGGGTAGGGCGGTATAATTACAGGCTTAACCCTGTTTAATGTGATTGTTTACAAAATAATAGTTCTAACAACAATTAGGCTTAATTTATTGGAAAAGTAAATTGAAAAAAAAAGTTTTAACATGTCATTAATTTTCTCTTTTTAAAGAAAAACAAAATCAAAAATAATCAGTTATAAGATAAATAATTTCATAATTTTTAGAGCTTTTTTTAAACTGATATTTATATAGCCATGTCAGAGGTGTTAGCTCATGTTTTCCTTATTACTGTAGGACCATAGGTTAGAAAATTACTGCCCAGATACCTGTATATGTATATATATATATATATATATATATATGCTAATAAATAATAAATAATAAAATAATTATAAAATAATTTATGTATTAATGTTTTGAGATAAGTTTTCTTAAAATAAAATGGAATAAAAATATTATAAAATCATGAATTTTCTTAAATTAAAGCTCTCCATTAATTAATGAATATATGTATTAGCTATAGCTGGCCAAACGGCTGAACCAAATTGGCTAAATTTCTTTTGAGGTAACCCAATTATTTTGCTGCGTCATAATCATAAAATCATAACTAATACTATAAAGGCGGCAGGATTCACTATTGCTATTAATAATAATATAAATCTGGGCAACGCCAGGTAGCTCAGCTCAAGGTTATAATGCCAGGAAAGTTAATTGCAGTTACGTATATTCTGCGCACATATTGAAACCAGTTCTCTCTGGGCAGAATTTGTAAACAAGAACAGATGCATCAGTGTTCGTCTAGTATCCGAGGAAGTTAAAAGTATTAAATTTTGATAATTTTGATAATTCACATAATAGTTTCCTATGACCAGAATATCTCATTAATTTTTTTAATATTAAAGATGGATCCCATGTCAAAAGATGCGTCCACCTCTGAAATAACTTTCCTTGCATTACAACCTTGCCCCAGCTAGTAATCCATGTAGATAATCGAGAACACTCCTTTTAATACACCATCTGTAGTATAAAACCACCCCTGTACAGAAGTTTTTAGTTTTATTGGTTACTTAAAAATGAAGAAGTTTACCTAAGCTAGGTTTAAAATTTAGAAGTTTAAACTTATTAAACCATGACTTTTTTGTTAAGTATAACAAGACAATTTTGATGTTATTCTTTATAAAACAAAAGTAAAATGTTGCATTTTCAAAAGTTTCACTTCAAATTATTAATATCAATGCAACATAAATCTATCTATAAGAATTCGATAAATTATTTTTGTTGTATTGAACCGAATTAAACCTTCAAAATAAAACGTTTCCTCTATGAAATAATATGAATAAAACAATATAGAAATTAAATGTGCACTCAAAAAAGATTGTATAGATACAAATATTTGATTGAGCCACCTTCCTCTAAAACCGACGCAGAAATCTTCTCATTCACCGTCAACTAAGATTTCAGTTTGTTCTGCAGCAATTTGTATTAAACTGACCAAAGATATAGTAGCGTTTAGTGCACAGAGTCCATGATGATAATGTTAAAGACGACTAACGCAACTCACCAGAGTCCATGATGATAATGTTAAAGACGACTAACGCAACTCACCAGAGTCCATGATGATAATGTTAAAGACGACTAACGCGACTCACCAGAGTCCATGATGATAATGTTAAAGACGACTAACGCAACTCATAAGAGTCCATGATGATAATGTTAAAGACGATTAACGTGACTCACCAGAGTCCATGATGATAATGTTGAAGACGATTAACGCGACTCACCAGAGTCCATGATGATAATGTTAAAGACGATTAACGCGACTCACCAGAGTCCATGATGATAATGTTAAAGAAGATAAATGCAACTCACCAGAGTTCCTGATGATAATAGTTATAGTATTTATTTTCAAACACAAAATACAAAATAATAATGCATGATGGTTTAACTTAAAATAAAACACAAAAGAAAATTTATTATGAGCCAATTAAAAATATATTGTTTGATAATTTTGTTTTGATCGTATTTGTTGAAACAAAGTAGACATATTGAAAACCCAACTAAGAATACATTCATTGTGCATTTACAAGTAGATAATTAGTCAGCACTCAAATAATCAAAAAATTTTCAGGAATGCATTCATTGAACTTATGAATACATATTGATTCAACAAAAATAGCAATGTATTCTCGTTGACTGTAGTAGACTTTGACATCCACCATTAGACAATTAACGCGACTCACCAGAGTCTACAGTGAAACCCTTAATAACGAATACATCGGAAGAATTTATCAAATGTCGTCTTGACAATTTTTCAATGAGTTTTATACTATATTACGTAAATTTCAGTAATTGCGAAAATAAATAAATAGCCTTGAATATGGGGGAACATTTTTAAAGAGTTCCATATAATAATTTAATTAAAATACTAAATATCTGCAACATTCCATTATCAGAAAGTGAAGAATACGACATTTGATAAATTCTTTCGTTGTATTCTTTATTAAGGGTTTCACTGTATGATAATAATGATAAAGACGATTAACAAGACTCACCAGTCCATGATGATAATGTTGAAGACAATATTTATGAGGTTCAAGAAGTCGCTGATCATCAGTTTACGGGCCCACCAAGTATGACTTCCATAAAAGTCTAAATTTAAATAGGAAAACTTCGAAAGTTTTTTATAGCGTTGTATTCATCAATATAAGTAATTATAATTTATAAACAATTTTACGAGTAAATATACCCAAGTAAAAATAAGTAAAAATTTCACTAGTAGATATAAGTAAAAGTGAATCAACACTATTAAAATCAAACTTATTCAAAAATGCATGCAACATTCATAAGGAAAGAAAGCTTAATTTATACTATATTTACTTTAGATTTAAATAATAAAAGCTTCTAAAGCTCGACAAAAAAAAATAATAAAAGAAAACACAATTTCTTTATTGGGTGAAACAGAGGACGGAATTTTTGTTTTGTCCTGTCAGAAAACAAGAATCGGATTATTTGTTTACGGATTAAGTTAATTACTTTAAATATCTGGAAAAAGGAAACTTACTCTCCTCCAATAAGAGCTCGCAGAAATGTAAGTAAGCTTTTTTTGAAGGATTTAGCACTAAATTATTAATTAATTTCCGTAGTAAATATGCAGTTCAGACATTTTAGACATTGTTGTTTTGACATTGTAGTTTTCGTTATTCGCGTTTTAGAAGTTCAAAACGAGTGGGTCGTTTTTAAAAACGATCGTTTTTTGAAAAAGTGAAACAAAAAACGATCGTTTAATGATCGTTTTCAAAAACTATTAACAACCCTAGTCGTACGTACAGTGATAAACTTAACACTCTGAAATGGGAAGTGTACTTTTGGCTCAAATTATGGCTTTTAACATGAACATGACACACATCCATGGTGCAGCGTAAACAGATCAATTTACTCCTGAAACTATTTACTTTAGAACAACATCAAATACACTAACTTTTTGTCTTTATATCATCTTCCATTCCACAGTTTTCTGGTTATCACTGTGTACATGTTACCTTGAAGGTAGATATGAATGTCCCCGAGCTTATCCTCCCTGTTCTCGTTGTAAGGGAGAACATTCTGTAAGTTCTGGAGTAGGGAGGAGATACGACCGTCCTAAACATTTTATTTCAGGATCTCACATGGTAATACAAATTAACCAAAAACTAACTAAAGACACATTACTACTCACATAACTAGGACATTTTTATTGCTGGCGGCAATCTTAAGAACAAAGAGAATAGAATATATATTAAAATGGAATTTAGAAATTCCCTCGGTATGAATTTTGTCAGTCCCTTTCAGCCTGAAAGGGAGTTTAAAGTGTTCAAATCATGTAAATGTTCACAAATTATATGCAGTTTTTAAAGCTGTTAAATAAACTTTATAAAATGAATTATGTGAATAAAAACATCATTTGATTTAAAGTTATAACGGAAAATCATCGTTTGTAAAGTGAAAGGCATAGAGTGAAATGATCATTGGTTAATTATGAAACCAGTCTATTTCATAATTTGGTTTTCTATAAAATAATGTTCCAGGGCCCAAAAGGTAATACAGCACAAATATGTGAAGTACATCAGCAGTATGGAAACAGTACAACAAAATGGCCGTTTTACATTTTTTTCTAGTAAATTCCACTCTAATAAATATTCTATTCTCTTTGCTTAAGAAATTGCTTTATGAAAACCACACTAATAAAACAAAAATCTGCGATATGTTATCCTTTATTTCAAAGCATAACTTCAGGTTACCCTCCATGCAAACTTTACAACGGGGTACCCTTTTAATTTAACCATTGACTGTTTACAGAGGAAAGAGAGCTCTTTGTTTAAATATCTTGAAATTCACTTGAATTCCTGTAAAATGCGGTGTACGCTGTGTTCAGTTTGACCTCAGCTGATATGATATAAAACGCGTACCAGTCTGAAACGGCATTGTCATCTTTGCATTTGAGAACGGAGGGTCACTTTAAATCCTCTTGCAGTATATTTATTTACATATATATTTTCCTCTTTTTATGGTTTGTTTGTATGATCAAATAGATGTGTTTCATAAATATGTTTTAAAATATGATATTTTCTATATTTTTAACTTGAGTCAAATATATATATTTGATTTGATTATTTGATTTGATTTGACCCCTAAACCGATCAGGCCTTATTTTTGCGGGACTGACCGCTAGTTTATAAGGTCGGTCCGAATAAAAAAAATTACCTGAAAGAACTTGTAGAATGTGTATGGAGTGTAGAAAGATATATATATATAACCTGGGAGAACTTGTAGAATGTGTTTGCATGGAGTGTAGAAAGATATATATATATAACCTGGGAGAACTTGTAGAATGTGTATGGAGTGTAGAAAGATATCGCCTAAACAAACATGAGAACATTAGTCGAGCTACTATTCAAAGGATTTATATTTAGAATAAATGAGAAGGGCCGAAGGGTTTGAGAAGAATATTTTTGCTTACATTTGGTGGTTTTTATTTTAATACAATAAAGATGATTTCCCCCCTTAATTTTTGAGTTTATTTATCGCTATTATTTAAAATGACCCAAAAGATTCTCTTTAATATACAGATTCTCTTTAATATATAGATTCTCTTTAATATATAGATTCTCTTTAATATACAGATTCTCTTTAATATACAGATTCTCTTTAATATATAGATTCTCTTTAAAGATTCTCTTTAATATATAGATTCTCTTTAATATACAGATTCTCTTTAATATACAGATTCCCTTTAATATACAGATTCCCTTTATTTGTTAATGTAATTGTCTCTTGGGAATGAAATCAATTATTGCCTTAACATAAATGCTGACCTCTGTATGTCAAACAGTTAAATTACGGTGATTGACAACCCCCGCCCCATCCTCTCAGCCCTCATATCCCGCTTAGAAAATCCAAGCATTGTTTATTTTTTTTTTTGTCAGAAAAACTTGAGATAACGTTAAACATCCCCTTTAAGTTTTTACCTGTAGAAACAGCAGATAAGGAACCCATTGATAATATGAATGATGAACTGGATCTGTATCTTGCTGTACAGGTCCAACACCAGGATAAGGATGATCTTAATTGGACTTTTGTTGAAATTTCAAGTAACCCTTCATTTAAAGGGGGGCATTCACGACATTTGATANAGGGGGATACAATACATAGGGGGACACAATGCATAGGGGGACACAATGCATAGGGGGACACAATGCATAGGGGGACAAAATGTAAAGTGGGACAAAATGTAAATTGGGACAAAATGTATAGTGGGAAACAATGCATAGTGGGACAACATGTAAAGTGGGACACAATGTATAGTGGGACACAATGTATAGTGGGACACAATGTTTAGTGGGACAAAATGTATAGTGGGACACAATGTATAGTGGGACACAATGTATAGTGGGACACAATGAAAGTGGGACACAATGTATAGTGGGACACAATTCATAGTGGGACACAATGTATATTGGGACACAATGTATAGTGGGACACAATGTATAGTGGGACAGAATGTACAGTAGGACAAAATGTATAGTGGGACACTATGTATAGTGGGGCACAAAACATAGTGGGACAAAATGTATAATGGAACACAATGCATAGTGTTACAACATGTAAAGTGGGCACAATGTTAAGTTTAGTGGGACACAATGAATAGTGGGACACAATGTATAGTGGGACACAATGAATAGTGGGACACAATGTATAGTGGGACACAATGTTTAGTGGGACAGTGGGACACAATGTATAGTGGGACACAATGTTTAGTGGGACACAATGTATAGTGGGACACAATGTATAGTGGGACACAATGTTTAGTGGGACACAATGTATAGTGGGACATAATGTGCAGTGGGACACAATGTGCAGTGGGACACAATGTATAGTGGGATACAATGAAAGTGGGACACAATGTACAGTGGGACACAATACACATGGTGGAACACAATGTATAACATGGGACAAAATGTAAAGTGGGACACAATGTATTTTAGGACACAATTTAAAGTGGTACACGATGTAAAGTGGGACACACTGTACAGTGGGACACAGTGTATGGTGTATATCTAAGTATTAAAGTTATATTATTCACAATAAGCTAAACTAATAGGAATCATAAACCTTAAGATGGATTTTTAACACAGAAACAACAACTATTTAGAAATGATTGCAGAAAAGTATAAGCTACCATTTTAAATGTTTATTGAATGTTAAAGGGATTCCGGCGATCATTGGAATCAAAGCTGCATAGTTATGTAATATGTATGTATGACTACAAATACCAAATCACTTTAATAAAAAAAATCAAATAAAAAAACACACACTATTTAGAGCATATGGGGTACTATGAAGAGGTATCACAACAAATGTTTTCTGTACAGTACATTGCAGTACAGTGTACATGTTTTACTATGCGCCAAGGTTATAATGCAAGAAAAGTTATTTCAGAGATGTACGCATCTTTTGTACTGCAGTGTACTGTCTCTGGGTGGTAATGTAAACACAAGACGGATGTCACAGCCTGACATGGGATCCATCTTTCAAATGAAAAATCAATGAAATGTTCTGGTCATAGGAAACTATTATGTGAATTATCAAAATTTTCAAAATTCAATGCTTTTATCCTTCTCGGAAACTAAACTACACATTCCACCCAGAGAGAACTGGTTTCAATATGTACGTATTATGTTGTGTATACGCAACTGCAAGTAACTTTTCTTGTATTATAACCTTGCTATGCGCTGAATATTCTTTTGTACAGTGCACTGCTTAATTGTGCATGGTTTATTGTGCAGCGTGAGTAGTGTTGTTCTGTTAAAAGACGACTTTTAGACTCAAGTTATGACTTTAATTAGTCCAGTGAGCATAGAACACAGCAATTATCCAATGTGAAGAAACCCATTGAACTTGGGTTATTGAATAAGTTATTGGTAAAATATCTAATTTGTACACTAATAGCACAAAAGTTTAATTATTGATTTAATGTTGTCTTCCTGTTCCACAGTTTTCTGTTTGATGACATGTACTGTACTCAAAGAGAATAGAATATATATTAGAGTGGAATTTAGACAACCCCTCGGTATGAATTTTGTCATTCCCTTTCAGCCTAAAAGGGAGTTTAAAGTGTTCAAATCATGTAAATGTTCACAAATTATATGCAGTAGAGTACATTAATACAGTATGTTCCCTAGACTATCCATTTCAATTTCGAATTTTTTAAAGCTGTTAAATAAACTTTATAAAATGAATTAGGTGAATAAAAACATCATTTGATTTATAGTTATAACGGAAAATCATCGTTTGTAAAGTGAAAGGCATAGAGTCTATGTGAAATGATCATTGGTCAATTATGAAACCAGCCTATTTCATAATTTGGTTTTCTTTTTATATTAATTTTAAGTTTTCTATAAAATGATTTTCCAGTGCCCAAAAGGTTATATAGCGTATGGAAACAGTACAACAAAATGGCCGTTTTACACTTTTTTCTAGTAAATTCCACTCTAATATATATTCTTTTCTATTTGGTTGTACTGTACATGTTGTAACATGGCGTACAGCCTACTAACCTTCTGAAGATTGTTCATGAGGAAGTGTAAATGTAGAACTAAAAAATAAAAATAAAAATATTGTCTCAAAAAATTCCAAAAAAACCCCCAGAATAATCATTCTAAAGAGCTGTCTGTGAATTATATTTATTATAGATAATTTTAAATCTACCTTTAGAAAAAAAATCGATTGTTTCTTTCGCTAAAAAATTTTCTCCATCATTTTTGTATAATTTTACCAATTTTTTACAATTTATAAATGGAGAGACAATTAATATTATGATGACTAGTCTCTTAATTAGAAATATTTTCTAAATTTTATTTACAAACTTCACAAATATTTGATTTAATTAAAATCGTACTTTCTTTAACCCCCTCCCCCCCCCTTTGTCATTTCTATAATAAGCTAAAAATAAAATTTTTAGGAAATTTTTTTGCATTTTTTTTTATTTAATTCCTTATATAACAATATGAGTTAAAGCTTGCCTCTGATACTTGAGTCTCCTCAGAAAATCTGAATGAAATAAATTATTCAACTTGTGAAAAAACTTGACTGGACAATCCAGAGTCGACTTAAAGGTCGTCTTTGAGAATTTTGAAATAATTTGCGGCTTTGATTCACAAACCTTATATTTGAAGTTAAATTCTTGAATTAATATCTACAAAAAACCCCTAGACATTTCCAAAATGTGGTCTGCCTTTTATGTGCTTTCAAAAATACCGAAATTTTGATCAGATTTTGAAAATTTGGGTTTTATTTAAAAATTTTAATTTGTTCGAAATCCTTCGGCCAGTAATATTGAAAGTATATAAAGGCAGACCACATTTTGAAAATGCCAGAACAGGGGTAATTTTGTTATTATTGTTATAAGAATCATAAATAAAAAGTAGGTTTACGTTTGAATACCGCAAACAGTTTCAAACACCAAAGACGACCTTTAATTCGTCCTTGAACTGACAGTTTTGTGGGACACCTTGTACTATCATCATCTATGAAATCTATTAAGGGGGGGGGGGTCAAAGTTTGTTTATGTTCTTATAATATATAATTTTTAATAAAACTTCCAAGATTTGAAAAATGTATTCAGTTCTATCTTTAATAAATGGAAAAATTATCGAAAAAATAATTCTACAACGCATTCGTTTGCGGATATTTTCTGGATCGTTTTTTATATATATATATATATATATTTTGACCTTGAGGGAAAATAAAGGCAAAAAACGAATCAAAAACGAACCCACATCATTAAACCCAGGCAATATACAACCACAGGGTGTCCCACATCATGCCGGATCGTTTATTGCTCTAAATTGCGCTTTTCGGGACTAATAAAGAAATTTAAAAACAGATCATTTTAAAAAGTTGTATATAAGCCTAATATAAAAATTTTCATGCAGAAAATACCATGTTTATCGATTATTTTGTGCGTATTTTGGCGTTACAGCTTGGAGGGAGATAATACAGTATGATGTGGGACGCTCTGTACATCAATTTAGACCCCTCAGCCTTTTTAGGATCTTCTAGTTAAAGTCTAGTGTTCTAGTTGCACTACTTGTATACTGACCTAATACAATGAATATGATCCCCCAAGAGTTCCTTCGCAAACACTGTACACGTGAACAAACCAAGAAGAGTTCCTAAAATCAAGATTGTTAAAAATCTTTAAAATTTCGACATATTTCACCTAATTTTTTTTCTTTTTCTATGTTAAAAAATAAGTCTATAACAGATAAGAGCCAGAAAACTCTGAAATAGGAAGACGACTTTTACACAAGTTATAACTTTTAATAGTCAAATGAACATGTGAGATTTCTTTCATGTCGTCTTTCTCTTCCACAGTTTCCTGGTTTTTACTGTATTCTACAAATTTCTCATAAATTATTATGAATTTAATATTTGCCTTTATAGTCTTTTATTTACATTTAAACCTAGTATAAAAGCAAACTTCATAATTCTAAATATAAGTCTGAAAAATCGTTCCCCATCCTTCATTCACACAACAAATTGGTTTAAATGTTTTGTTTAGTTGTATGCAATGAACTTTATACAGTACAATTGAACTGTGTACATAATTTTTATTTTAATCATGTTTAGTATTATTATTATCATATTTCGTAGTTTTACCTATTGATTTGTGAAGCTTAGAAACTAGACCATTTTGCCACCTGCACAAATATTGATAATTAGTGAAAATATTGTGAAAATATTGTGAAAATATTGAGAAAATATTATGAAAATATTTTGAAAATTAAAGTTATAATTTATCTTAGATGAAAGCATCCAACGTGTTTATTTCATCTTTTGATTTATGTACTTAACTTAGAAAAGATTTAAATATGGGAAACTATGAGTTAAACTCTCTTCTCTCAGATCAAGGGGCGTATACAGGAATTTTGGGTCCGTTCCAGAAAACCCTTTTATCATCGCCCCCTCCTCCTCCCCTTTACCTTTTAATTTTTTACATGACCTTGATTTAATTTTTTTCCACAAAATTAATATCATTTATTTGGTATTACTTTAGGGGTAGGTGAAGTTATGACAATTTCTCGCCCGAGCGCTACGTCCATGCATTAATGCAATGTCTAAAATTAATATATTTGGAATAAGACTTTTTTATATGAACAGCTAATAAGGAAATGCATTTCAATGGTTTTATTAATATACATTTAGTTGTATTTACCTATTTGTTAGTTACATTATAATATCAAAATCTGCACAGCCCGGCCCATGCATTATCAGAACAAATAAGTTAGACTTAAAAAATTGTTTTAACGCAACGGTGGACTTTTGTACTCACACTTTTTTCTTGTGAGTAAGCGCAAAAAAAAACATAAATGTACACCGGCAACCAAATTCCTCCGCAAAGTTGCGAATCTATAGCCTATATTTTTTTACAAGTTTTTATCAATATCTTTAATTCATGTTTTAAAGTTTCCGGCTCCTTAATATTTTCTAATTTGTTTCTAACCTGAGACAATTCTCATCCACGTTGACAGATTTATGAAAGTATCCAGCAGATAGAAATTCTAATATTCCCGCCATTTTTCTATCACTTGGTTCGATCAATTAAAGCGACTGGAGGAGTAATTTCAAGTGATCCACTGGTTTAAGACAGGGAAATTTCAATTCACAGCGGTTCTATTTTAACCTTTATGAGACTATAATTTTCCCGTTCGAAAAATGTTGAATTCTGCCAAATTCTTTCAGTGTTTAATTAGCAGAAATGCTCAAGCCACAGTTATCGAGAAACAACAGGTGAACATAATCAATGCATAACTTATTAGCTATTATAGGATGTTCCATTCGTTCTTGATCATTCAAAGCTTTTAAGGATAAGATGTTGTGAATTAAGGATACTGTTGTGAATTAAGGATACTGTTGTGAATTAAGGATACTGTTGTGAATTAAGGATACTGTTGTGAATTAAGGATACTGTTGTGAATTAAGGATACTGTTGTGAATTAAGGATACTGTTGTGAATTAAGGATACTGTTGTGAATTAAATATACTGTTGTGAATTAAAGGGACTGTTGTGAATTCAGAATCACTTGGAATTACGCTTTAAATACTACAGTGAACAGTCTCTTAAAAAAAGTTTTATTTGTTCCAACCTTTTCTCACAAATTTTCCTATAAAAATTCTTCTAGATTTTTTTCACTCTCTGCATTGGGTGGATTTTATTCCTCTGACGATATTCTGAAACATGAAACTGTAAGACATTGTACAATAAGAACCTGAAAACTCTGGAATAGAATAATGAACATAAAATACAGCAATTGTGCAATGTAAACAGACCCATTTCACTTAATTTAATTATATTACTGAAACTGTTTCCTTTTCAATAACATCAAACATATTTAAGTATTGCTATAATGTCGTCATCTTATTCCACTCTTGTCGATTTCTCACTGGATATATTATGCTGTAAACAATTTATAATGTGCATACTTGTACAATGTACATAATCAACCCCTGAACAGCTAGAAGGAGAATGATTACATTTAAACTGGAGCTGTATAGTATTGACTAAGGAGGAAATTTAAACCACATTATTACAGATAAGATTTTCAGCATTCGGAACATTCATGATTTTAAGGCATTTTTGATTTTTGTTGAGTTTTTTTAATTAGACCGTAAACGTAGTGGTTTTAAACTGAAAAAAATACTAAATTAAACCTTATTTGTAAACGTAGTAGTTTTAAATTGAAAAAATTACAAGATTAAACCTTATTTTTTTTCCTTTTCATTATCAGCAATATTTTTGGCACAGTACAATTCATTTATGTAATATGTGTATGTGGCAGTGCAGAAAAAATTCCCCTCCTAAAAATTAAAAATTAAAATATGAATTATTGGAAAATCTTGAGTTAACAAGATTGTAGGGTTTAGAACAGTAAAGTTACTGATATGCAATGATGAAATGATTTATAGATTAACAGTATATTCTATGCGATTTATAGATTATTAGTCTATTCTATGCGATTTATAGATTATTAGTCTATTCTATGCGATTCATAGATTAATAGTTTATTCTATGCGATTCATAGATTAATAGTTTATTCTATGCGATTCATAGACTAATAGTTTATTCTATGCGATTCATAGACTAATAGTTTATTCTATGCGATTCATAGATAAATAGTTTATTCTATGCGATTTATAGATTATTAGTCTATTCTATGCGATTCATAGATTATTAGTCTATTCTATGCGATTCATAGACTAATAGTTTATTCTATGCGATTCATAGATTAATAGTTTATTCTATGCGATTCATAGATTAATAGTATATTCTATGCGATTCATAGACTAATAGTTTATTCTATGCGATTCATAGACTAATAGTTTATTCTATGCGATTCATAGACTAATAGTTTATTCTATGCGATTCATAGATTAATAGTTTATTCTATGCAATTCATAGATTAATAGTTTATTCTATGCGATTCATAGATTAAAAGTCTATTCTATGCGATTCATAGATTAATAGTTTATTCTATGCGATTCATAGATTAATAGTTTATTCTATGCGATTCATAGATTAATGGTTTATTCTATGCGATTCATAGATTAATTGTTTATTCTATGCGATTCATATATTAATAGTCTATTCTATGCGATTCATAGATTAATAGTTTATTCTATGCAATTCATAGATTAATAGTTTATTCTATGCGATTCATAGATTAAAAGTCTTTCTATGCAATTCATAGATTAATAGTTGATTCTATGCGATTCAGAGATTAATAGTATATTCTATGCGATTCATAGATTAATAGTTTATTCTATGCGATTCATAGATTAATAGTTTATTCTATGCGATTCATAGATTAATAGTTTATTCTATGCGATTCATAGATTAAAAGTCTATTCTATGCGATTCATAGATTAAAAGTCTATTCTTTGCGATTCATAGATTAATAGTATATTCTATGCGATTTATAGATTAATAGTCTATTTTATGCGATTCATAGATTAATAGTCTATTCTATGCGATTCATAGATTAAAAGTCTATTCTTTGAAATCTCAAAGGGAAGGTACATGTAATTTCATAACTATTTCATCATATTCATTGAGGGGAATATTATTGACATAATCCGATCAAAGCTGTACTCTTAGAAGCTTTTTCTGATCAAAAATGAATGAGCTATCCATGTTTTTCTTTTCTTAAAATTGACTTTTTTTTCCATGGAGGTTTCTTTATAAAATTAAATTGCGGATTTATACTTCTGTATTATTTTTTTTTACGATATTTTGATCAAAAATCTGATCTTATATGTTAGTAGATTGGAAGAAGAAAGGATATTTTTTAATTTTTTTAATTTTGAAACAAAAATTCCTTTCTGGCTTTCAGCCTTCTTATGGTATACTTATATTTTTAACTCTAAAAATAAACATAGAAACTAATTGCAGTCTCCTGCAAGACGAATTGGCATGATTTAAGAAGCATTTACTGCAAGAGAGAGTATAATCATGAAATCATTAATTTACTAAAAGATCAATAATAATTGTAGGAAATAAAAATAGTTCTCCTACGTTAGAATAATATTATATGATATATATAATGTTAATGTATAAAGTTCAATCAATAATATTTTTTGTATCGTTTTTAGATAAATAAATGGATTATTAAGACCTTAAAGGTAAAAGAAACTGTAGTTTTAGTAGGGTAAATAGAAGTGGGGGGAAATTTTTTTTGTAAGATTAGTATTAATTCGCGCGATTATACTTTTCTCCCCCCCCCCCCTCCCCTATCTCAAATCCTGAAACCCAGTATTAGAAAAATAACGTAACAAGAGGTTTAGAAACAGATAAGAACATTTTAACAATCTCTTGATTTTTTCATTTTTTAGAAAAATGGGTGATTTATGGAGATCCAGCAAACCTTCACTTTTTGTACTGTCTCAAACCTGCTCTGTACTCTACCTTCAACTTATAATCGGTAAGCAATCCTTTATGCTATTCTAATCCAACTTCTTTTTAGTTTTAATGGGTTTGTTAATATTTCATCTGACATTTTTATTTTCTATTTAAATACTTCAGAACCAAATTTTTAACTAAATTAAATTCAATTTTTAATTTAACAAATATTTATTTAAATCTTTATTATTAATTTAAATATGAACTGAATACTCACAAAATTTATTTTTACTTAGACACCCTTAATCCTGATCGCTTAATCTGAATATCCATTGTGGAAACTTTTTATTTTTTTTTTAATCCGCTCTTGTTGGATATCACATGTCCTACTACATGTAATAAAGATATGTTTGATTACAAATACAGATATGATGCTATATCGATTGAACTAATATCCGAAAGTCAGCTGTTCACAAGCCGGATTTTAGAGCATTGAAACAAATATAAATTTAAAAATGTTAATACGAATTTTTAAAAACATATTTAATCACATGTGAGGACTATGTCCTTTTAAACGTTAGTCTTAATAAACGTTAATCCAAAACTTGCGTTCGTTCAATCGATCATTAGTCCAATTGATATGACACCACAAATACAAGAAAATTAAAATAACTTGAGTCTAAAAGTCGTCTTTCTATTCCAGAGCTTTATGGTTATCATTTTTATTGATATTATTATTATTATTATTATCATTTTTATTGATATTATTATTATTATTATTATTAAAGAATTACTGTACGTACTTTTTGCGGACATACATGTGCAAAAGTATTTTTTTTATAGCGTACTCTGAAAAAAGCGGAAAGCTATAGTGTTTTTCAATTATTATTTAATCACGGGAAAGAAAAGAGGGGATATAATATATAATAAATAACCACCATCTCGCCCCTATAAATTTTAGGGAGAGGGAGAGGGTGCTACTTTTATCTCTTGAAAATATTTTCTTCTATCCCCCCCCCTAAACACGTGATATTTAAACGTTCAATCAAAATAGTTTGATAAAAATTTAAAGTAATTTAGATTTTTAGAAAATTCCATTTTTTTATTTTGTTGTAGCCTGGAGGGCTGATGATGTACCTGTACCTTATTTCTATTATCTATCTCTCAGCCCTACTTCTATACTTCTCCAGGAAAATTTCATAATATCGAGAAATCAATTTTGTTTTAAATCCTAATAGGATTTTAGCAACACCGGACCTAGCTGGAGAGTTACCAACTGTTTGAGTGACCTCTCAAAATATTCCATTTTTTGTAATATTGAAAATTTATTTGCACAAGTTTTAAATAGGTTTTTTTTATATTTTTGATATTGGTAATTTGAAATTGTTAATAGGTATCTAATTTTCTTTTAGTTATTCATTTAGGAAAGAAACAACATGGACAAGGAAAACCAATGTTTAACATTATAAAGCATGAACAATTCCTTTAGTGCAAAATCTTGTAATTGAATTTCTATAAACTCTTCTCCAACTAGGAAAGCCGAAAGAGAACTGTCTCAAAACCAAAAGTAGACAAAGACAATCTATCTTTACTGATCTCAGAACTTCAGTCCTTACGTGCTATATAAGACTCTCTCTCTACTCTTGAAGTTATACTCCTATAGAGAGTTCTTGCAGACTGTCTTATTAACAAAACATACTGGATATATATTGGGCTTATCCCTGTTATGCTTTACAATAATTTATTCCTTACATACTTAAACACAAAATAGCAAAAGATGAAAATGAAATTTAGAGAATGATATTCCTTAACAAAGTTGTAGGAATACAATAGTGAGGGTAGGCTTGAAAAGTTTATGTTGCTCAGTACGTATATTTCTCATCTTCCAACCCAGGCAAAATACTAGTGCAAAACAAGCATGCGTTTTCAAGGTCTCTATTCATCCAAATCTTTACAACAGAATTAAATTGTTCATTATTTAATTCATTTTTTTCTTAAGAAACTCTAGGATGGCCATTTTAAGTAACATCTGAGTAGTTATCAACCCAATTATTTAAAGTGATCATCCTGAAAACGAAAGGTGTAAATGTGATTTGCTGGGTTTTTGTCACTGACTTTGATTATACAGATCTACAGAACAATCAGGGACGTGGTGCAGTGCACCCTGATTCCCAAGGGTTGATAGTCCTAAGCCCAAACTCTCCAGAAGAAATTCTGTCTTCGGAATGTCTTACATAAATAAAAATATCGCATGTTTTATCTTAAATTTTGATAATATTATTGTGTAAATTAAAATTAGACCTCGGCATTCTCAACATCATAATAAGAGCCATGGGTCAGCTTTTCTCAGGCAGGTAGACAAAACTCAATAATTAAAAACTTAGTTAAAAAGAAAATTTGTTGACAATGTCAGAAAACTTTGTCAATTTTTACAATTAAAAAAATTTATCATAACGTATTTTTTGGCTATTTATCCGAAACAAATTTTTGGAGAGATATTGTCATTAATTTCAAAATGTTCTGGTAATTTTTTTCCTTCAAATTGTTAACATTTTTTTAAAGAGAAGCGAAGAGCAATACTTTTTTTTATTAAAATTGACACTCTTGTTATTATTTGCTTTTTAACTCTAAAACGGTTTAAACTTGATCTTTTATTTGGGCTCATGGTTCTTGGTTAAAGTATTTTTAAACAACATTATCCATAAAGTTTTTCTTTGATTAAAATGTTAACAGAATTTTTAAAAAATTATTTTTAATATTTATGATAACCATGTTACAGGGTGCAGCTGTATTTGGTCTGGGTTCATGTCTTTATTCTGGACTAGAATCTACAGGTAGCTGGCAGTTTATTCTGGACTAGAATCTACAGGTAGCTGGTAGTTTATTCTGGACTAGAATCTACAGGTAAGCTGGCTGTTTATTGTTCGTTTCTCAACAACTTTAATAAAACTTGCAACATTTCAAAACTATTTTCTGTTCAATTTTGCTTTTATTAAACTTTGAAATATGTTTATTCTAAGAGAAAAAAAGAAAAATGAACCAAAAACGAGAGAGATTGAAGTTTGCAGCAGCAAATTTGGTCTGGTGGAGGCCACAGGAGGGTAATTGTTTTCAGCGGAGGGAATGCACAATTATGATTCAATTCTAATTACTCCACCGGTAGGGTAAGAATTAACACCCAGGACACTAATTACGTCATCGGAGGGATGGTAATTAACACCTAGGACACTAATTACGCTATCGGAGAGATGGTAATCAACACTCAGGACACTAATTACTCCATCGGAGGGATGGTAATTAACACCCAGAACACTAATTACTCTATCGGAGGGATGGTAATTAACACCTAGGACACTAATTACGCTATCGGAGAGATGGTAATTAACACCCAGGACACTAATTACTCCATCGGAGAGATGGCAATTAACACTCAGGACACAAATTACTCCATCGGAGGGATGGTAATTAAGACTCAGGACACTAACAATTTCATTGGAGGGATGTTAATGAACACTTGGGACACTCCACTAAAAGGATAATTATCATCCCTCCGATGGAGTATGTAGTGTCCTGAGTGTTAATTACCATCTCTCCGATAGCGTAATTAGTGTTCTAGGTGTTAATTACCATCTCTCCAATGGAGTAATTAGTGTCCTGAGTGTTAATTACCATCTCTCCGATGGAGTAATTAGTGTCCTGAGTGTTAATTACCATCTCTCCGATGGAGTAATTAGTGTCCTGAGTGTTGATTACCATCCCTCCGATTTAGTAATTAGTGTTACTAAAAATGTTGATTTTGAAAAAAAGATCAGAAACAAATAAAACATATAAAATTACTTGGATCGTAATGGAAAATAAATGCTCCCTAGAATTTTGTAAAATTATAAAGGAGGAATTTTTTGTTAAAGGGAAAATTTACTTTCCAGAGAATTAAATATTCTTGTCTCAACAACGACATATATTTTCTCAGTTCCAGTTTGTTTTACTTAAATACTGTCTGAGAAACATCTGCAATGTTATTGTTTCACAAACTCAGGAATAAATGTTAACAATAACATTCTATTGTGAGGTATATATCAGTTATCTCTGAGCGTATTTACAGCTCCTCTTATATATTTAGTTATCTCTGAGAGTATTTACAGCTCCTGTTATGTATTCAGCTATCTCTGAGAGTATTTACACCTCTTGTTATGTATGTATTCTCTTATCTCTGAGAGTATTTACAGCTCTTATTATGTATTTAGTTATCTCTGAGAGTATTTTCACCTCCTGCTATGATATTGTGGACGTTATTAACGCCTATCTACTGACAGTTTTCATCATACTTCAGGAAAAGGATTCAGATGTTAAGTACACATATCATATCAAGCTATTGTATTCTTGATCTCCTTAATCTTAATATCTTTTGTTAAAATTCATGGTTTTGTTCTCTGTTTTTTTATTTAAATACGTTTTTAATCATTGCTGCCGTGTCTGCTCCATTTTTTTAAAATTTAGTGCTTGTGTCTCTTGAGTGATTTCATTACATGTTAATTGTTTCAGTTATAATTTATATTATAGCTCTGAATTTTTAATAACTTTTTGATCTTATTTTCTCTTATTATTTATGCAAAAGACTTAAGTTGTCTATGACATCTAATGGTTCAAGTATATCACAATCAATAAAAATCCGTGAAAATTAAAAATGATTCCAACGACATTCAATTCACTTGTTTACTGGGACACTCTGTAGATTACGTGGATTATATACTGTATACTGGGACACCCTGTAGATTACGTGGATTAGATTCTGTTTATTTGGACACCCTGTGTACGTGGATTAGATACTGTTTACAACCTGTAGATTACGTGGATTAGATTCTGTTTATTTGGACACCCTGTGTACGTGGATTAGATACTGTTTACTGGAACACCCTGTAGATTACGTGGATTAGATACTGTTTACTTGGACACCCTGTAGATTACGTGGATTATATACTGTTTGCTGGAACACCCTGTAGATTACGTGGATTAGATACTGTTTACTTGGACACCCTGAAGATTACGTGGATTAGATACTTTTTAGTGGGACACCCTGTAGATTACGTGGATTATATACTGTTTACTGGAACACTCTGTAGATTACGTGGATTAGATATTGTTTACTTGGACACACTGTAGATTACGTGGATTATATACTGTTTACTGGAGCACCCTGTAGATTACGTGGATTAGATACTGTTTACTTGGACACCCTGTAGATTACGTGGATTAGATACTTTTTAGTGGGACACCCTGTAGATTACGTGGATTATATACTGTTTACTTGGACACCCTGTAGATTACGTGGATTATATACTGTTTACTGGAACACCCTGTAGATTACGTCATTGAATTTTCATTGAATTTCTACAGAGTAAGAATGATTGTGGATTTAATCTGAATGAAGAGAAAATTATTACTCTGCCATATGCTGACGATTTTTGCCTGATAACGACAGAGCTAAGAAAACGTTAAAAAATTCAAAATGAAATAAAATCCAAGATTGAAAGTATGGGAATGAGATTAAAACCAGCAAAATGTAGATCATTTTCTATCAGATCAGGTGTACAATAGCAGAATAAGCTTTACTATTGGTGAAACCGAAATTCTAAACATATTTCAAGAAGAGCAGAAATTCCTTGGTAAATTTCTATTTCCTACTGGTAAACTTAGTGATGCGTTCGATTACATCAAGAGTGAACTGGAAACAAAACTATTAAATATAAATGCACTTCTTATCCAGGATGAATATAAAGTCTGGATCTACGAAACATTATTTCATTCCTTCTTTTCGATTTCTGCTCACTGTTCATACAATATCGCAAAGTCATCTGAAGAAACTAGATACATTCACTGATAAATTTGTGAAAAACTGAACTGGATTACCACCCTGTGCAACAAATGCTGCTCTACACTTGAAATCTGGCCTAGACATCACTTCAATATCCACCCTGTACAAAACAACTGTCAGTGAAAAAGTATCTTTTGAAAATAAACTTTCTGGAGAGAACATACAGAAACACTCATAAAACAAGGACATTTTCTCTGCCTGGCAATGCTTGAAAAATCTGACATGAACTGGAAATCTTACATGTTCAATCTGAAGAAAGGTACACTGAAATTCCTACTCAACTCCTGTTTGGACACCCTGCCAACACAAACTAACCTTCTACAATGGGGAAAATCTGCATCAGATCTCTGTAAACTATGTCTACAGGCAGGCGCTGAATTGCAAGGTAGAAGACAAGAAACTACAAACCATATTTTGAATGGCTGCAAGGTTGCACTACACCAAAAAAGATATACTTGGAGGCACAACAATCTTATTAAATATATAACTGGATTAATTGATATTGACCGATTTCTGATGTATGCCGACATCCCGTCCCATACCCTTCCAGGGGGAGGTACTGTTCCCCCCCACCTCCNATTGTTTTTTTTTGTTTTAAACAGATCTATTTTCAACACCATTTTGTCTAACAAGTAAGAGATTTCTTTGTTTCCTCTGCAAGTTAACTATTTTACGCCTTTTTACATGTCTGACTTTATCATTTTGATAAAATGGGTTTGTATTCAAATCTAAAATGATCCTTTTATTCAATTAACTGATGATCTACACGTGTTTGTAATACAATTGATGCTTACTAAAGTCAAGCCGATCTTGTATTCAATTTGAATGATTTTTCCCATGCAATATTTCTCTGTAATCCATGAATTCTGAATGAATGAATGAATTATACTGCACTTTGTTAATCAAACATTAATAAAATTAGGTGTCTGAACCCCTTTTCTCTTATCCAGATGATCACTGTTATTTGTTACCCTCGTCTTAATATAAGGTAAATATATGAAACTAGGCTTACGGGGGGCTTCATCTTTTTTACAGTTTAGAATAGTCTAATCTTAATTATTTTTCTGATATAGGATTTTCAAAATGTTTTAATAAACGAATTAATTTTTTGTCTGGCAAAATCTATAATAATTGAACAGATTTGGTCAGATCGGTTCAGTCGTTTGTTAGAAACAAGCAGACAAATAGATATTATGATTATTAATTACATGACATTTTACAACATTTATTAGAATATTTGCATAAACCCTATATCGCACCTTAGGAGATGTGTCCATTTCATGTTAAAAGAACTTAAAACCTAATTTCAAGCAACTCTCATCCACTCCACAATGATGGAGATATTTTTTCTATTTGAAAAATGAAAGTTGGCGATCTTTGCAGAGACGGGAAAGAAAATGTACAGAATCTATCTTTGATTTAAAACTGTATCTATTAAATAATCATTTTTTCTTATTTCCTAAGAGGTATGTAACTATTTAAAACAAGTAATACCTCAAATTATGCCGAAAGTCCTTTTAAGACTTATATGTTACAGGATGAAGCACGGATTGTCCCATCTATGTTTGATGCATCTTATATCATGTTACAGGATGAAGCACGGATTGTCCCATCTAGCATCTTATATCATGTTACAGGATGAAGCACGGATTGTTCCATCTAGGTTTGATGCATATTATATCATGTTATAGGATGAAGCACGGATTGTCCCATCTAGGTTTGATGCATCTTATATCATGTTACAGGATGAAGCACGGATTGTCCCATCTAGGTTTGATGCATCTTATATCAACAAACTCCATAATCTGGATGAGAACTATTGTAAAAGTAATTTAATTTAGAATATTTAATAAAAGGATCTAAATTGTTTAAAGAAAATGAGTATTCGCCTCAAACTCTAATTTTCTAATCATTATTTCAAGCTTTAAACTTTAGTATATCTAATTGTTAAATTTTGAAATAGGATATGTTTTTATCTTAAGATTGTATAAATACAAGGATAAGAAAATTAGAGTTTAGTCGAGATCCTTTGAATGGAATTCAGGAAAGTAAACTATAAGTAGAATAGTTTCAATAAAATATCTTGTTTCAGAAAGGGCGGTTTGCAAATAGCGTTTTGTGCGTAAAAATTTGTTTTTAGATTTTATGATTCTAAAACCAAATTTTGTCAAATATAAATCCTTTTTATTACATGAAAAGATATTTTATCATGTTAATTATCGAAAAATAAGCATTTGAAAAAGTTCAACCGTAGATATGTTCAATTTTGTCCAAAATTAGTATTTTCCATGTCGAGAGAAAACGAACAACAAATTGTTGTAATGTCAATTGAATTTTACTGCTGTGGATTAAATTTCGCGTCATTATTAAAAATGATTTTTAAATTAATATATTTCTTGGTCTAGAAATTTCTAATTTATTTATCAGCTCACAATTATTTAATTTATTACTAAATTAACTTGATTTTTATTTATTATTTTTGGACAATTTTTCTATCTTTATTTGATACATTTTTCTTTTTTCTAGGAGTCTATATTTGAGTACCATGAGATCAACGAAGAGAATGGAGAATCAAATAGTGATTGGTTAGAGATGAAACCTTTAGGAACACCTTTTATAAAAAATGTGCATATTTTACAGTGGTCATCGGAAAAATGTGGACGGATTTTTTATAACAACTACAAATTAATACATCCTTAGCGAAAATCTTTAATTGAAAGAAAGAACGAAGACATATTTTTCAAAGGTTTTGGTATATTCATATTTTCAATCATACTAAATAACTGGACATTTTAGATTATTTCCATTGGTTTGAGTTGGGCTAAATTCCAATTAGAGTTGAAAAAGCAGCTTTTGAAAATTATAATACAATTAATTTGAAATAAACATTAAAATCCTATTGTGAAAATTTGGAACAAAGAAAGGTGCGCTTTTCTCTCGACAATGTCCCTTAATAATTTGTTCTGTCGAAAAGCTTGTTTTTAACTTGGCTTTTAATAATATTTCGGTTTATTTTTAATTTAAATCACATTTAAAATTGGATTATATTAGACCTGGAACCCTGGAATGTTGCTCATATGAGCTCCCATCAGACTACCTACCCTACCAACATATCTCACCATTCAGGTAGATTCTGATATCAGATATATCAACCCATCCCAGACTGCCTTCCCATCCAACAGATCATACAAGACTACCTACCCATCCAACAGATCATATACCAGACTACCTACCCATCCAACAGATAATATATCAGACTACCTACTCATCCAACAGATCATACCCAACTACCTACTCATCCAACAGATCATACCAGACTACCTACCCATTCAACAGATCATACCAGACTACCTACCCATCCAACAGGTCATATACCAAACTACCTACCCATCCAACAGATCATGCCAGACTACCTACCTATCCAACAGAACATATACCAGACTACCTAGCCATCCAACAGATCATACCAAACTACCTACCTATCCATCAGATCATACCAAACTACCTACCTATCCAACAGATCATACCAAACTACCTACCTATCCAACAGATCATACCAAACTACCTACCCATCCAACAGATCATACCAAACTACCTACCTATCCAACAGATCATACCAAACTACCTACCTATCCAACATATCATACCAAACTACCTACCCATCCAACAGATCATATACCCGACTACATACCCATCCATCAGATCATACCAGACTACCTACCCATCCAACAGATCATACCAGGCTACCTACCCATCCAACAGTTCATTACAGACTACCTACCCATTCAACAGATCATACAAGACTACCTACCCATCCAACAGTTCATTACAGACTACCTAACCATCCAGCAGATCATACCAGACTACCTATCCATCCAGCAAATCATACCAGACTTCCTACCCATCAAGCAAATCATACCAGACTACCTACCCATCCAGCCAATCATACCAGACTTAATTAACCATCCATTATTACATACCAGATCCAACCAGAGAGGAGGATCCAAATAACATGTTATAAATCTGAATAATGAAAAGGATAAATTCAAATAAACTACATTGAAATAATGGCTTTGAATTTATATTTTTTTAGAAAAGACATCTGCTATTGATACTCTGGATCCAGACCAGGTGATCTAAAATCAATCAATTCATTTTGAAAAGTCTCAATTTGCCGGATAAGTCACTCGACCCTTTAGAAACTCCATGTTAGCACTGAGATGTAAGACTCATGGGAAAGGGAATCAGTTTCGACCACACACTTCACGCCCTTATGAATCTAGCATGATAGTTCTGCGATCAAAATTGAATTGCAAATATTATACCTTCATCAATTATATTCCACAATCCAATTTAGATTTAGTGGAATTAGAAACTCAATCTAGAAGATACGGGACATTGGACAACGTTCTGATCCCGGGTTTTTACCTCGCTCAGGCCAACCATTAAAACTGGTTATTCTCAATCGGAACAAACGCACATTTGGTAGATTGGTAAAAAGAAATTTTCCCTTTGGGGAAGAATAAAACAAGGTTTATTTTAGGAAACTTTTGGTTGTTATGAAAGCAGTGTTGTGATGGCTAACAATATAATATACAAGGTGTTAAAGGTAACATTTGTTTTCAGTTTAAACTATTAAACCCCCCCTGGCCCTTTTCTTTACAGTTTTGTTTACGGTTTAAACTATTGAACCCCCCTTCACCTGGCACATTGTTTACAGTTTTGTTTACAGTTTAAACTATTGAACCCCCTTCGCCTGGCTCATTGTTTACAGTTTTGTTTACAGTTTAAACTATTGAACCCCCCTTCATCACTGTAATCTTCCAGGCTGCATTCGCTGCATAAAACGTGCTGGGTCGACTTTACCCTGGTTAGTCCAGACTGGACAGTACGACAGTACGACTGAATGCATATACAGTACATGTTGTACATCATGTAAGGATCATGCAACTGTAGACGTGGGTGAATTGGGTTGCAAAGATATAGGGATTAGAAAATCAGAGTTTTTGTTTAAAGGACACATGGTTCCTTTAACCAAAATGAAAACATTGTTTGCAGGAATCGACTCCAGTTCTGTTTCCGTTTATCATTGAATTCTCTCTGATCGGCTGCACTATGTTCTTCAGTATGTGGAAGCACGTGGGATTCAAACAAGGAAATAAACCACGCCATTTTATTTTCAGAGACAATTGTTCAGATAAATTTTCCTGCAAATTGAATTAGAACCTTTCCAGATTTAGAGAATAAATTTCCCAAGCTTGTTTGTCATATATACGTCTTTCATAGCCCATAAATACACTTTCACGAACATGTTTGCTATAAGTAACACTTAACTTTTAGTCTACAATTAACAAGAGTTCAGAATTCTCATGAGAAATTATGGCAACAAAATTTATGGAAAATGTAGCATGGCAAATGTAGCATGGCAAATGTAGTATGGCAAATATAGTAATAGCAAATGTAGTATGGCAAATGTAGTATGGCAAATGTAGTATGGCAAATGTAGTATGGCAAATGTAGTATGGCAAATGTAGTATGGCAAATGTAGTTTGACAAATGGATTTGAACCCATCACATTGGATCATGCATAGCTTTAAAATGTATTTAATGGGGTTTAATAGAAAAATTTAAAAAAGATTGAGTAGCTTTGAAAAAGTTAATTTAAAGAATTAAAATATAGAATAAGTTATTTTATGAGTAGTCTCAGTATTTTGGCGTTCAAGCTTAGAGAAAATCTACTTTTTGCTTCATCGTTACAAAACATTCAAATGTTAAAGAATGAAAACTGGTATTTCTGCAGACAGCCTCGATATATACTCATTAAACATCAAGAGATATATTCAAAATATAGGAATCAATCAATTAATAATTTATGTGCATTTTTATGTTGTTTAAAACAATTTTCAATAATTTAATATCGTACTGTTTAAGCAGTTATCTGTTTGTTTAAATTAATATGTAATAGGATTGATTGATTGATTGATTAAATGATTGATTGATTGATTGATTGATTGATTGATTGCTGTAAGACTGGTCGAACTCTTTGCGTGGATTCCTGCTGGGGTTATGTGTACTAGCTCTCAACATTATAAACCTGTCTCTCTTCTTCACGTATGTATTAACCAAAGAAACTCTGACTTGATTTGACTACCGCCAATACCACAGTTTAAAAATAAAAGTTGAAATTTTATATTCTCATTTTGGAATTTCAAATCTCACTACCGCCAATACCACAGTTTAAAAATAAAAGTTGAAATTTTATATTTTCATTTTGGTTTTTCAAATTTCACTACCGCCAATACCACAGTTTAAAACTAAAAGTTGAAATTTTATATTTTCATTTTGGTTTTTCAAATCTCACTACCGCCAATACCACAGTTTAAAAATAAAAGTTGAAATTTTATATTTTCATTTTGGTTTTTCAAATCTCACTACCGTCAATACCACGATAAAAAATACAGCTTGAAAATTGAAATCTGAATTCTAAGGACCTTAAAACCTCTAGCTTTTATGTAAAGGCATTTTATGATCTGAAAAGTCTCAAAAAAAATGTACAAAATCCAGCTCTCAAAGCCTTCAATTCGGAGAAGGCATTCTGTATAAACACGGGAAGACCTGGGACGCCCCTGGATATACACCATATCAGGGTTAAAAACTTGTGTTTAGGTTGCAAGATGCCAGGGACAATACTGATGAATATATTGCGAAGCTAATAAATACATTTATAAACCTTGGTGATATTTATCTAAAATATTTAAGAAATATTGAAAATGTATATATAATATATATTATTTGATTTAGACTTAAAGGGACTGTAAGCACAATTTCAAGGGATGCTACATGCAAAGAAGGCAATGCTCGATTAACAACGGTTCCCTTGAAAGCTTTGTCTGATTAAGTATAAATTAGAAATTAATGTTTTTGTTTCGTTAAACTTTTTATTTTTAAGTTGCGGTTTCCCTGCGAAAGTGACATGTGCATTCCTTGAGAAGTTATGGAGAAATTCACAGAAATAAACACTTTTAGAGTCAGATTAAGGTTTCAAGGGTGCTGTTGTAAATCTAGCATTGCCATCTTTGCATGGAGGGTCACTTGAAATTACGCTTACAATCCCTTTCTCATTTAAATAAATATTTTCCAATTTTATTATTTTTTTAGTTGGAATTGGTGGCTGTATTGTTGCTAGCTACAAGATACAAAAACTCAAAGATAAGGTGATTCTCGTATAAGTGTTAATTTTAAATTTGCACAAAAAAAGGACAAATTATGCCGAGAGTCTCTTTAAACACTATTTTTTTAGAAAATAGATGATGGATTTGACAGTGTCCTTCTCTCTCTCAGTGGGTTCTTCCTTATAGTATACTCACTACTGGAGGTAGAAACTAGAAACATACATTCTTCTATATAGTATACTCACTACTGGAGGTAGAAACTAGAAACATACATTCTTCTTCCTTATAGTATACTCACTACTGGAGGTAGAAACTAGAAACATACATTCTTCTATATAGTATACTCACTACTGGAGGTAGAAACAGTAAACTTTAACATCTCTCTAACACAACTTAGAATTGGTTAAGACAATTATATTTATTTGTAAAAATATATAGAGCACATCTTTACATGTTTAAAAACCACTAACTACTAGATTGAAGATTTATGTGTTTTTGTTTCTGCATTTTCTCTTTAAGTGCAAAGATGATATCTGGTCGCTACAAAACATAACATTCTTTAATAAAAGGGCAATATAAATATTTAGATTGTTTTAAAGAAAACAGGTCCATAAAATGTGCCAACTTATTCTTATGAAATATGGGTTTTGGTAGTATGGATAATTTAATAAAGCTAAAAGTGTTTGGAGTTGGCCGTGCCCAATAGTCTCCAATTTGTGCGGTTGCCTGTGCCCATCAGTCTTTAACCTTATTTTTCTTTTCACTTTAAATAAGTTGACCTTCACTGACACATATCCCATGCAAACCCGCTGCTCTCCCCCCCCCCCTCGTTACGGCCCTGACCCGACGTTACTTGTGTACATTTGTTAAAATGACATTAGATAAATCATGATGAGAAATAATAAAAATATTATTTTCAGATCACTGTGGGGGTCTACGGATTCCAGGAAATTCAAAATATTGCTAAACACAAAGTTTTACCTAATACATTTTAGGGATTGAGTCGTTATTTCAAGTAACCATCCATGGAAAGAGGACAATGCCCGATTTACAACGGTACCCTTTAAATTTATGGCTGTTCATCGTGTAGAGAGAGGTCTGTGTGTAAACCTCTTGAGTGGCTGTTTATCATTCTAAAACCCGGTGTACGCTGCGTACACTGTGAACTCAACACAGCTGACCTCTCGACTATTTTACAATAAAAAGTGTTTGAGTAGATTAATAAGGATATGTCTTACATCGTTGATCAGTAAAAGGTTTAAAGGGTACCATTGTGAATAAGGGATGAACTTAAATAGTATGCTACTTAAAATTACTCACAGTCCCTTTAAGAAATATATAAATTGCTTTTATTAATAGTGTTTCCTATAACAATTTCTAAATTTGTCAAACATTCAAGAAAATTTTTATCCAATGTGTGCTTGTATAAATTATTTAGGAGCACATACAAAACTTATCATCATTCGTCACAAAACTTATTCCCACAAAACTTATTCCCACAAAACTTACAAAACACATCTTTTCCAACTTATCCAACAACAAAACTTATCAAAACAAAACTTATTATCACAAAACTTATCAACCAACAAAACTTATCATCACAAAACTTATCAACCAACAAAACTTATCAAAACCAAACTTATCAAACTACAAAACTTATCAAACTACAAAACTTATCAACCAACAAAACTTATCAACCAACAAAACTTATCATCACAAAACTTATCCAACAACAAAACTTATCAACCAACAAAACTTATCAACCAACAAAACTTATCATCACAAAACTTATCAAAACAAAACTTATCAAAACAAAACTTATCAAAACAAAACTTATCAAAACAAAGCTTATCATCACAAAACTTATCCATCTACAAAAGTTATCAACCAACAAAACTTATCAACCTACAAAATATATCAAACTCAAAACTAATTAAAGTAACTACAACATTTATTTTTAAAAACATTTTTAAAGATTGTACAACCTGAAACTTGACTCAGAATTTATATATATAAATCATTATTTATCTGTAACAAGGCTGGCGGCAATATTGAACAGATATGTGTTCATACATACATTACCAAACCTTGCTTACATAGCCTTCAGGTCTTCTCTGTTCTGTGACCTTCGCTTGTATCTAGATTTACTCTTATCTTGGTTTCCTGGAATAAGTTTTGTAGTTTGATAAGTTTTGTGATGATAATTTATGTTGTTAGATAAGTTTTGTGATGATAATTTATGTTGTTAGATAAGTTTTGTGATGATAAGTTTTGTAGTTTGATAAGTTTTGTGTTGATAAGTTTTGTCGCTGATAAGATATGTTTTTATATATTTTGTGGTGATAAGTTTAGTGACGTTATGTTTTGTATGGGCTCCATTATTTAGGCCCCTAATTCTTTTAACTGTAAGTGTGGGATACAGTCGTTTAAACTTTTTTATTTAGTTTTCAAATTTAATGTTTTGAATGTGCTCAGTCGAAAAGTACTACCATGGTTCGTCATTCGATTCAGGCATGTTAATATATTAATATATAGACACCTCCATGACAAATGCACGACAAATGCATGACAAATGCATGACAAATGCATGAAAAATAAATGACAAATTCAAGGCAAATGCATGACAAATTCCATAAAAATGCCTGAAAAATGCTTGACAAATACATGACAAATACATGACAAATACATGACAAATACATGACAAGTACATGATGAGTACATGACAAGTACATGATAAGTACATGATAAATAAGCGATAAATATGTGATAAATACACGATAAATACCATGATAAAAGCAAGTTTAAAAAGTAATAAATACATAATAAATATACGATATCAACATATATTTAATATAATTTTGATTTGTAGGTTTTCAATGGAGTTCTTTCAACGCTTGCCACACTAGTTCAGATTGTGTTTATAAACCTAACTTTAACTAAGGTACAGTACACTAAACCTAACTTTAACTAAGGTACAGTACACTAAACCTAACTTTAAATAAGGTACAGTACACTAAACCTAACTTTAACTAAGGTACAGTACAATAAACCTAACTTTAACTAAGGCACAGTAGACTAAACTTAACTTTAACTAAGGTACAGTACAATAAACCCAACTTTAACTAAGTCATAGTAGACTTAACCTAACTTTAACTAAGGTACAGTACACTAAACCTAACTTTAACTAAGGAACAGTACGATAAACCTAACTTTAACTAAGGTACAGTACAATAAAGCTAACTTTAACTAAGGTACCTGTACACTAAATGTAACTTTAACTAAGGTACAGTACACTGAACTTAACTTTAACTAAGGTACAGTACAATAAACCTAACTTTAACTAAAGTACAGTACACGAAACATAACTTGACCTAAGGCACAGTAAACTAAACCTAACTTTAACTAAGGTACAGTACAATAAACTTAACTTTAACCTAAGGTACAGTACACGAAACACTAACTGCTAGTATAGGATTTAATGTTTTGATGTACATATGGTTCAAATATTTCTGTAATTTGATCAAGATTACAATAGAGAATAAGTTCGACTAGCCCCTATCGAATTCAACTAATCTCACTTATCATTAATCTTGACCTGATGACACATTACAGGAGTTCTATGTATTCCTGAACAGAATATTATTTACAGAATCACGGACGGTAATTCATATAGTGTCATTAACAGCAAGCCTACGCTGTTAAATAAATCTTATCCGTTAAATGTATGAAGAGACATTTCTTTTCTGTTGAACATAACGTCATTGACACAGTTTTAATTATTTTTAAATAAAGCAAAAGAGATTTTGTGAAAAATATGTTGGGAAGGGTTGTGGCGTTAAGTCCGTTTCCATTGATATTTTATCCTTCCGCACATTTTAGTTTCTCTGCTAAAAAAGGATTTGGGTTTTGTATTAATTTTGTTTGTTAGGGCACAGTTTTGGAACGAAATGGATCTGATTCAACAAATGATTTAGGTATTATTTTCATCAAGCAATTTACTCTTCAAATTGATTTTAATGTGACTGTCGTCGTAACTTCTTGATTTTAAAGGGACTGTCGACGTAACTTCTTTATTTTAAAGGGACTGTCGACGTAACTTCTTAATTTTAAAGGGACTGTCGTCGTAATTTCTTGATTTTAAAGGAACAGTCGACGTAACTTCTTAATTTTAAAGGGACTGTCGTCGTAACTTCTTTATTTTAAAAGGAACTGTCGTCGTAACTTCTTAATTTTAAAGGAACTGTCGTCGTAACTTCTTTATTTTAAAGGGACTGTCGTCGTAACTTCTTTATTTTAAAGGGACTGTCATAGTAAATTCTTTATTTTAAAGGGACTGCCGACATACCTTCAAATTACACACGTTAAAAGGTGTGAAAAACAAATATACTTGTGCTTTCATTATATGTAGAGTACCTGCACTTTAAATCGGGCAATCCACTCTTTAATTTGGGGTTACTTTAAGTAACGCTTACAGTCCCTTTATTTCAGATTTATTTTCACATTTTCTTTTGTATAACAGAGTATTATATGGCCCCGTCAACTAATTTACAACCAATGTAAACAATGAAATAAAGCATAAATCTATAACAAAATGGGGTTGATATTTATATATTTTATTACAGACTCTGTAGATGTATCGGCTAGACCTGGTAGAAACGAGACTTTGTTCCTCGCAATATTAAACTTTTCACAGGTTAACAAATTTAACCTAACTGTCGACGGAACTTCTTTATTTTAAAGTGACTGTCGACGTAACTTCTTTATTTTAAGGAACTGTCGACGTAACTTTTTTATTTTAAAGGGACTGTCGTCGTAACTTCTTTATTTTAAAGAGATTGTCGACTTAACTTCTTTATTTTAAAGAGAATGTCGACATAACTTCCAATTACACAATTGTTAAAAGGTGCGAAAAACTAATATTTTTGTGTTTTCATGATATGTAGGAGCTGAAGTTAATCGGGCAATCCACTCTTTAATTGCGGGTTACTTTCATTAATGCTTACAGCCCCTTTATATCAGATTTATTTTAACATTTTCTTTTGGATAAAAGAGTTTTATATGGCCCCGCTAACTAATTTACAAACAATGTAAATAATGAAATAAAGCATAAGAAGATAATGTGGTTGATATTTATATATTTGATTACAGACTCTGTAGATGTATCGGTTAGACCTGGTAGAAACGAGACTTTGTTCCTCGCAATATTAAACTTTTCACAGGTTAACAAATTTAACCTAAGCTCAGGAGCGGCCCTGAGCCACACTATGTTTGCTTCCGTACCACAATTGGATACTTATTTATATTTCTTTTGGTCGCGTTGGTTCGTGACTCTTGGATTTTCTGGTTGAGGCACAACGTATTGGTTTCCCTACATTTCCTGTCTTTAAATCTTTTTTCAGAACTTTTCTGTTGTAAATATTTATATTAAGCATTGATTTCTATCTTATGCAGACCTTCTACGGATTAATGGAATTCCTCTTCGATATCCCAGCTTGGATAACTTTGATTTAGGGATCAAGTATTGATCATCAATTTAAAAGTACCTGAATATCGAGATCATGTATTGATCCTCAAATTTATAAGTACCCACATTGGATATCGAGATCAAGTATTGATCCTCAAAATTTAAAGAACCCACATTGGATATCAAAATCAAGTATTGATCCTCAAATTTAAAAGTACCCACAATGGATATCGAGATCAAATATTGATCCTCAAATTTAAAAGTACCCACAATGGATATCGAGATCAACTATTGATCCTCAAATTTAAAAGTACCCACATTGGATATCGAGATCAAGTATTGATCCTCAAATTTAAAAATACCCACAATGGATATAGAGATCAAGTATTGATCCTCACATTTTAAAGTACTTGCATTGAATATCGAGATCAAGTATTGTTCCCCACAATTAAAAGTACCCACATTTGATATCGAGATCAAGCGTTTTAAGATCAACGATTCCACGATTCCTATCTCTTGTCTATTTATTTTAGTCAAATCGGCCTTTAACAAGTTACAGGTTTACGTTTGGGATTTCGACCAATGACAGGTCCAAATATTTCCATCCTTGACCAATAGGAAGTCAGGATTTTCCACCAGTATAATACAATTGAACAATCAGAAAGTAGGATTCACTAAGAGATTAATCATTTATTCTTGATTTTTTATTATTATTTCTCACAAGCTAAACTCCTAAATTCAAAAGTCAAAAGTCGAAGACACCAAATTCAGCAAATATTGCTTGTTCTTTCCCCATTGCAAATAGAATTTTCTTATCTACCCATTGGAAATTTAAATTGTGAAGTTGAGTTAAGCTACATAACTGATCATATCCCCTGAAGCTTAAATAAAAACGTTCAGAATTTAACTAATTCCATTTATATTTTTGTCAATCGGTCCATGGTTTATAGTTTAAAGATGTACCTGATGTCTATTTCCAATCCTTAACCCATTAAAAACTCGTAAAAAAGATTCCTCCAGGCAACTGACTAGAGAACTAGTTTAACTTATTCATTTTATTTAAAAGTTCTTGGCTACAGTATTATCAATCAAGCCTAAGTATGTATCTGATATCAACATTTTGTTCAGTGGTTGGTGTTCACATTCGAGATGCAGAAAAGCCAGGAATGATATTTTTCAGTTTCACGTTTGAGGATGCAATTAAATACTTTTTGATTTTTTAAAAATATAATAATGTATCCTCTTTAAAGTAACGTTCTTTCTTATAATGTATGAAATGATCATGTCTATAGCCGGGGTCTTTACATGTATATCAATGTGTTACAAACTTTTAAAAATAAACAATTTATCTGCACCTACATCCTGTATTTCGGTTCTTGATTTTGTATAGCCAAAACTAAATACAACTTGTTTTTTTTAATGTTATTTTTGCACGATATTTTGATAAGCGTAATTTCCACGATGGAGTCTTCCACATTTTAGATCAGATTAGGATGCTTCAAGGGTACCGTTGTAAATCGGACATTGTCATAGAGGACCACTTGACATTAAGCTTAAAGTTCCTTCAATGTGGGAGTGCAATGCAAAAAAAAATCTATGGTACAGAGTGCCCCACAAAACATGACAGTTGGTGAACAGTTTAAAATGTCTTCTTCCGGTATATATTAAGTTGTTTGATACCAACGAGAAATATGAAAAAATATCATATGGCAGTCACATTATAGTAAAATTGATAAAGTAAAATATATTTGAGCTAAATAGTCTTTAAAGAAATAAACTACAACAATTCTTAAATATCTAATAAGGGATATGGATGAAGACATTCAAATTATTCGTTAACCGTCATGTTTCGTGGGTCACCGTGTACATAAATTTTGAAGAGAAAGACAATTAATAATAATGTCATCAAGTCGAGTAAAACAGAATCTGAATACTTTGGAAGATATGCTTGGGTCATTATCCAACGTGTCACTCTACCTCTTTGTATATTTTTTAGGTAAAATTTATTTAAAAATATTGAACAAAAATAATTCTAATATTTTTATCAAACCTAGGCTATATACTATGTTTAGTTAACAAATGTAAGCAAGACTAATTGTGCAATGCATGATATTGTAACACTTTTAAAAGCTCCACTTCAAATAGAAAAATAAGTTCAAAGATTTTTCCTTTTTCTTCTTGATTTTTAAATCATTTTATTTTTAGATTCCATTCTACCATCCTTCTGATTGATGCCTGGAAGAATAATTATAAAACTGAGAGTAAAGGGGAGTTCCACTAAAGGGAGTGTATGCTCATAAATCATATAAAGGAGGACAACCACAATTAGAGCAAATATATAGTAAATACAGTCCCTTTTTATTTATATGTTGTTAAAGGGACTGTACACGTAATTTCAAGTAACCCTCCATTTGTAGAAGTGCATGTCTGATTCACAACAATAGCATTTATCTGATTCACAACAATAGTATGTATCTGATCTATATGTTAGAAATGTAGAAAATTTTGTCCGGAGTTTAAAATGCTAGTTGAGCCGGCCCCTGAGCATTAATTCATGATAAACTTTTTTTCTTTATTTTCTTTTAGTTAAATCAATGTATTTTTTGTCAACATTTAAGGCCTAAATTATTTTTGCAAATAAAAAACAGAACTTCTTTTAAATGTCGGCTTTGAAATCTAATTTTTTCAAACATTGTAATTGTATATATAATGAGAACGGTAAAATCAGTATTAAAATGTTTTCTTTATTTTTTGTTGTGATGATTTGACCAAATAAATATATCTGTATTATAATTCTTGTAAGATATATCAAATGAAAATAACTTATAAACTTTGTTGGAACCACAAAAGAAATCCTGTCTCTCTTTTTCTAATTCGAAATTGATCATTTATTTCGATTCTCTCATAAAAAAGTGTGCACTGAAAATAAATGTATTTAAAAAGAAGACCTGAAATTTTTATTGACAAATGTTTTTAGAACTTCCAAGGAAAAAATAAAGTTTACGAATCGTACGTGACCTCACATCATCATTGATATAGTTCAGTAACTTCAATTTTGGCGTGTGGGTCACGGGTGTGGGACGTCCCTAAAAATCTGATTTGATTTAATTCAAAAATAATTTGTTAACGTTTGTAAACATGTCATTTAATATGGAATACATACAGGGTGACCTATAAAGGATGAGACTTCAAAGACGACTGTACGGAATTTATTCTGTCTGTTTCCTTGTATTCATGATTCCCTGCAACTGTGAACTTATTTGTCAAATCATTGAATAATCCAAGAGATTACTCTATCCAACGCAGAATACATAAATTAACCCAGGGATTGTTATATTTCAAGAGTGTCCGGTCGTCTTTACAATCTCATTCTCTGTGTTGTTCCGATGCTTACAGAGCTGAAAACTTTTGAATTGTGAATATCGAGATCAATGGTTGATCTCCTTATTAAAGAGAGAACTCTCATTGGTCGGAATCCAGTAGGGATATTCAGGGTGTCCCATTAAACATGGAAACTAAGTGACAACTTTTATATCGTCTTCGATCCATGCGGCACTTTTTCATATACACAATTATTGCAGTATTCCAGTTAAAACATCTAATATCAAAAACGCCTGGTCTTGAGATCTTCAAAATGTGGTCCAAATTGATGGAGATATTGCAAAATTTGTACAAATTTCATATTATTTAATAAATTAAAATTGTCTTTGTATTTAATACCATTGTCAATGTTAAAGATACAAGAAAGGTATTTATATATTTATATAGACCACTTTTTGAAATGCTCTGAAGGCGTTCGGCCTCGTTTTTATTTCTTTGCCATTCAATAAATATCAGAAATCAAAGACGACTTTTAAATCGTCTCTCAATTCCTATGTTTATTGGGACACCCTGTACTAAAAGAAGGAAAAAGAGTAGATTAAGCATAATCCTAACTGTCCACATTGGGTATTCAGATTGAAGGTATCCAATTCTAAAGTTCCCAGCTCAGGATGACTAAAAACACTACTGGAGGTAGAAACTAGAAACATACATTCTTCTATATAGTATACTTACTACTGAAAATATTGATTTCAGATCACTGTGGGGGTCTATGGATTCCAGGAAATTCAAGATATTTCTAAACAAAGTTTTACCTAATACATTTCAGAGACTGAGGCGTTATTTCAAGTAACCATCCATGGAAAGAGGACAATGCCCGATTTACAACAGTACCTTTTAAATCTTTGACTGTTCATCGGGAAGAGAGAGGTCTGTGTGTACACCTCTTGAATGACTGTACATCATTCTAAAACCCGGTGTACGCTGCGTACACTGTGAACTCAACACAGCTGATCTCTCGACTATTTTACAATAAAAAGTGTTTGAGTAGGTTAATAAGGATATATCTTACATCATTGATCAGTAAAAGGTTTAAAGGGAACCATTGTGAATCAGGGTTGACCTTAAATAGTATGCTACTTAAAATTACACACAGTCCCTTTAAGAAATATATAAATTGCTTTTATTAATAGTGTTTCCTATAACAATTTCTAAATTTGTCAAACATTCAAGAAAATTTTTATCCAATGTGTGCTTGTATAAATTATTTAGGAGCACATACAAAACTTATCATCACAAAACTTACAAAACAAATCTTTTCCAACTTATCCAACAACAAAACTTATCATCACAAAACTTATCAAACTACAAAACTTATCAAATCACAAAACTTATCAACCAACAAAACTTATCAACCTACAAAACATATCAAACTCAAAACTTATTAAAGTAACTACAAAATTTATTTTTAAAACATTTTTAAACGTTGTACAACTAAAACTTGACTCAGAATTTATAAATCATTATTTATCTGTAACAAGGCTGGCAATATTGAACAGATATGTGTTCAAGGGTACACTACCAAAGCTTGCTCACATAGCCTTCAGGTCTTTTCTCTTCTGTGACCTTCGCTTGTATCTAGATATACTCTTATCTTGGTTTCCTGGAACACCTACTCTCTATGTTTTGTGGTGATAAGTTTGGTCGCTGATAAGATAAGTTTTGTGGTGATAAGTTTGGTCGCTGATAAGATATGTTTTGTGGTGATAAGTTTGGTCGCTGATAAGATATGTTTTGTGATGATAAGTTTGGTCGCTGATAAGATATGTTTTGTGGTGATAAGTTTGGTCGCTGATAAGATATGTTTTGTGGTGATAAGTTTGGTCGCTGATAAGATATGTTTTGTGGTGATAAGTTTGGTCGCTGATAAGATATGTTTTGATATGTTTTGTGGTGATAAGTTTAGTGACGATATGTTTTGTATTGGCTCCATTATTTAGGCCCCTAATTTGTTTAACTGTAAGTGTGGGATACAGTCGCTTAAACTTTATAATTTAGTTTATAATTTAATATTTTGAATTTGCTTAGTCAAAAAAAAATACCATGGTTCGTCATTCGATTCAGGCATGTTAATATAATAATATATAGACACCTCTATGACAAATGCATAACAAATGCATAACTAATGCATGACTGATTCATGACTAATGCATGACTAATTCATGACAAATGTAAAGACAAATGCATGACTAATGCATGACTAATGCATGACTAATGCATGACTAATCCATGACAAATGCATGAAAAATGCATGACAAATGCATGACTAATGCATGATAAATGCATGACAAATGCATGACATGATAAGTACATGATAAGTACATAATCTGTACATGATCTGTACATGATCTGTACATAATCTGTACATGATTTGTACATGATCTGTACATGATCTGTACATGATCTGTTCATGATCTGTACATGATCTGTACATGATCTGTACATGATATATACATACATGATATATACTTGTAAGTACACGATAAGTACATGATAAGTACATGATAATAAACGATTAATACATGATAAATACACGATAAATACCATGATAAAAATAAGTTTAAAAAGTAATAAATACATGATAAATATACGATATCTACATATATTTAATGTAATATTGATTTATAGGTTTTCAATGGAGTTCTGTCAACGCTTGCCACACTAGTTCAGATTGTGTTTATAAACCTAACTTTAACTAAGGTACAGTAAACTAAACCTAACTTTAACTAAGGTACAGTACACTTAACTTTACTTTATCTCAGGTACAGTACACTAGACCAAACTTTAACTAAGGTACAGTGGTTCAGTACACTAAACCATACTTTAACTAAAGTACAGTACACCAAACCTCTAACTTTAACTAAGGTACAGTACACTAAACCTTTCTTTAACTAAGGTACAGTACACTCAGCCTAAGTTTAACTAAGGTACAGTACACTAAACCTAACTTTAACTTAGGTACAGTACACTAAACCTAACTTAAACTAAGGTACAGTACACTAAACCTAACTTTAACTAAGGTACAGTACACTAAACCTACCTTTAACTAAGGTGCAGTACACTAAACCTTACTTTAACTAAGGTTACAGTACACCAAACCTCTAATTTTAACTAAGGAACAGTACACTAAACCTTATTTTAACTAAGGTACAGTACACTCAGCCTAACTTTAACTAAGGTACAGTACACTAAACCTTACTTTCACTAAGGTACAGTACACTAAACCTTACTTTAACTAAGGTACAGTACACCTTACCTCTAACTTTAACTAAGGTACAGGACACTAAACCTTACTTTAACTAAGGTACAGTACACTCAGCCTAACTTTAACTAAGGTAAAATACACTAAACCTAACTTTAAACAAGGTACAGTACACTAAATCTTACTTTAACTAAGGTACAGTACACTAGACCTAACTGTAACTAAGGAACAGTACACTCAACCTAACTTTAAATTAGGTACAGTACACTAAACCTTACTTTAACTAAGGTACAGTACACTAAACCTAACTTTAACTAAGGTACAGTACATAAAAGCTAAGTTTAACTAAGGTACAGTACACTAAACCTAATTTTAACTAAGGTACTGTACACTAAACCTTACTTTAACTAAGGTACAGTACACTAAGCCTAAGTTTAACTAAGGTACAGTACACTAAACCTAATTTTAACTTAGGTACAGTACACTAAACCTAACTTAAACTAAGGTACAGTACACTAAACCTAACTTTAACTAAGGTACAGTACACTAAACCTCTAACTTTAACTAAGGTACAGTACACTAAACCTTCTTTTAACTAAGGTACAGTACACTAAACCTTCTTTTAACTAAGGTACAGTACACTAAACCTAATTTTAACTATGGTTCAGTACACTAAACCTCTAATTTTAACTAAGGTACAGTACACTAAACCTAATTTTAACTATGGTTCAGTACACTAAACCTCTAACTTTAACTAAGGTACAGTACACTAGACCTAACTTTAAATAAGGTACAGTACACTAGACCTTACTTTCACTTAGGTACAGTACACTAAACCTAACTTTAACTAAGGTACAGTTTATTAAACCTAACTTTAACTAAGGTACAGACAGTACACTAAACCTTACTATAACTACAGTACAATAAACTTAACTTTAACTAAGGTACAGTACAATAAACTTAACTTTAACTAAGTTACTGTACAATAAACCTAACTTTAACTAAAGTACAGTGCACGAAACATAACTTTAGCTAAAGCACTGTAAATTAAACCTAACTTTAACTAAGGTACAGTTCACTAAACCTAACTTTAACTAAGGTTCAGTACACTAAACCTAACTTTAACTAAGGTACAGTACACTAAACCTTACTTTAACTAAGGTACAATACACTAAACCGAACTTTAACTAAGGTACAGTACACTTAACCTAACTTGAACTAAAGTACAGTACACTAAACCTTACTTTAACTAAGGTA